GTAACCGATATCGAATACCTCGGCATGATCATTAAACCCGGTTCTATCGCCATGGACCCTGCTAAACTAAAGGGTATATCTGAATGGAAGACTCCCATGAAAGTGAAGGAAGTCTGGTCATTCCTCGGATTTGCTAACTTTTATAGACGGTTTATTGCTGACTATTCCTCTATCGCCAGACCATTGATCGACCTAACCAAGAAAGATGAAGAATTCTCTTGGACCTATGAACGTGAGGAAGCTTTTAATAAGCTGAAGCGTATCTTCACATCTTCCCCTATCCTTCAAATCCCCGACAAGAATTCCCCTTTCGCCATCACCACTGACGCTTCTTTATATGCTACTGGCGCAGTACTTCTCCAGAAGAACGACAACGGAGATTGGCTTCCTTGTTCCTTTCTCTCACAATCCTTTAACCCTGCTGAACATAATTATCAGATCTATGATTGAGAATTACTTGCCATTGTCTGTGCTTTGAAAGCATGGAGACACTATCTCCTTGGATCTCCTTACCCTGTAACTGTACAAACTGACCATAAGAACCTTACTTATTTTAGGGACGTACAAGATCTCAACCGACGCCAAGCAAGATGGCAAACTTTCCTTTCTCAATTCAAACTTCAAATCCAGCACATACCTGGAAAAGAACTCATTATCCCCAACTTACTTTCACATAGAACAGATCACCTTCCAGTCGATAGTGACGAAAAGGACAATATCAGTATTCAACTCCTCCCAGACTCGATGTTTATTAATGTCATTGACACTTCTTTTATGGACAGACTACGTATCTCTTCCTCTATTGATCCCGTAGTACATACAGCGCTCCAAGCGCTTACAGACTCCTCAATTCCTCCTCCACTCCGCTCAGCTCTTTCCAATTGGAAATTGAGCGACAGAATTCTCTCTTTCAAAGGACTTACTTACATACCCCCCGGAGATCTCCGACGAGAACTCACCTCCTTACATCATGATTCTCCCACCACCGGACACCCTGGACGCTTTAAAACCCAGGAACTCTTATCTCGCAACTACTGGTGGCCTGGACTAGCCACATTCGTCAAGAATTTCGTGGAAGGCTGTTGCATCTGTCAACAGAACAAAGTAAACATGCACCCTTCCACTCCGCCACTCTCTCCGATTCCCGCCCCTATTTCTAACCGACCCTTCGCACATTGCTCAGTAGATCTGATCACTGATCTCCCACTATCTGACGGCTTTGACAGCATTATGGTCGTGGTCGACCATGGACTTTCGAAGGGGGTAGTTTTCACCCCTTGTCTCAAAACAATAGACACTGAAGGTGTCGCGAACATTTTCTTTTCCAAGATTTTCTCTAGATACGGACTTTACGATAAAATTATCTCTGACCACGGACCTCAGTTCACTTCCTGATTCCAGATCAAACTCAGAAAACTCCTCGGATACAAGAACTCCCTTTCCACCGCCTTTCATCCTCAGAGTGATGGAGAGGCTGAACGAGTAAATCAAGAACTCAAAGTCTACCTCCAGATCTTCTGCGCCAATGACCAAACCGGTTGGGCGCCCATGCTGCCATTAGCCGAATTTGTCCATAATTCGCATCATCACTCAGCACGTGGCACTTCTCCTTTTTACCTCATGATGGGATATCATCCACATCATCTTCCCAATTCCCATCCAAAATCCGACATCCCTAATATAGAACAACGACTATCTCTGCTTAATAAAGCACGTGACGAAGTGCTAGCCGCTCATGAACTCACATGTAATACTATGCATCAACAAATCACGTCCAAATTCGTACCATTCTCTAAAGGCAATAAGGTTTGGCTCGAAGCCAAAAATCTACACCTCAGATATCCTAACCGGAAGCTCGCCCCTAAACACGAAGGACCATTTATTATCACCAACGTATTATCCCCAATAACCCATCGACTTGCTTTACCCACGCAATGGCACATACATCCTGTCTTTCACGCCACACTCCTTTCTCCTTATAAAGAGAACGATACCCACAGCCCTAACTATATTCCGCCTCCTCCTGACTTAGTTGATGGCGAAGAAGAACATGAAGTTGAAGTGGTCGTCGGACACCGCAGATCTTCTTCACGAAGGCAATATTATGTAAAATGGAAGGGATTCCCGAGTTCCAAGAACAAATGGATGAAGGAAGCTGAACTAGGTAACGCTTCTGAACTTCTTACTAATTATAAACGATCGCATCATCTTCTTTGATAGTAGTCAGTGCCTACTACCCTTAAAATGGGGGTAATGTTACAGTTTCTCTTTTTTCTTTCACCTCTTCACTTATTCACGATTACTAATCATTCTCAGACATTCTATGACATTCTATTGTATGATTCTTTATTCTCTTTTCTGATTCGCTATTTACTTTTCATCTCCGATTCATTTATTAAAGCTCCGCTTTAATTCCCTTATATATACTCTATCTCTTACGCTTGTATTCTTTAACTTGACCTATGCAGCCCAGGGCCTGCAATATACTGCTTAACTCGCATGACTTGTACATAGGTGTATGCTTTAGACTCTTTGTGACTGTTTAGCTGTTCTCACAAATGCTGAGCATAACATCTATCGTCAAATAGCATACTGACGGCCTTTATCAGATCTCTTGATTTGAGATACTTGATCACTACCATTCGTCCACATAGTATCTTAATTTTGTGAACCAGAAGAGTTGAGATTTGGCGCACGGCACTACTAGTTATGCATGCTGATCGCACACGAAACGATCATTCATTCAATGCTGCTAGTTACAATTCAATTGTCCATGTCAATTCTTCCGCGTCTTCCTGTCTCGCGGCAACTCGAAGTTCTATCCCAATACGTACAATCGTTCAAATACATCGCTCGTTGAGAATGTCACAGTTCACCAAATGAGGTGACCACTAAAGTTCAACAGGCGTCAAAACCTGATAATGAGAATCAGACAACCATACCACACGTACCCGTCAACAAAATATTCTCCGCCTGTCATGTAACTGGCATGATCGGACAGAAGCAATACTGCTTGACCTACCATCTCATGCGGCTTTTGAGGTGGTAAGCGCCTGTCGGATCAAAATTATTGGGTACATACCTCAGCGAAGCGTCCGAGCGGTACGGTTTTCGCCTGATTCTCGAGGACGCTGGTTTCCATACCCGAGGTTTGATCCGTGTTCACTGATGTCAAATATTCAACAAGTTAGGACCAACGGGATTATTGCAAGATGCTGACCATAACCAGGGGACAGCGCATTCACTCTAATCCCATGAGTAGCCCACTCCGCAGCCAACCCTTTCATGAGAGTGGTCACAGCACCCTTGGATGAATTGTAGAAGACCTGGGTCAATGGCTTGTTTGGCGCGACTTGGTTAATGATCTGCGAGCTCATGGAGGATGTAATAACGATCGAACCGCCGTGCTTCTTGTCGATCCACAGCCTGTCGTATTTGCCTGGGTCACGCTTTCCAAAGCACTAGCTCATGATGGAACTCACTTTGCCGCAGCCTTGGTGCTGTTAAATACCCCAAGGACATTAACGTCGTACACTTTATGGAAGTCTTTGCTGGTCAGTTCGAGTGCAGGCTTCACCACGGAGACACCAGCATTCTGTGATAACAAGCCACTTGTTTCGGAGAAATGACATGGCTGAAGAACGTCCCACTTACTGCTATAAGTCCTGTCACCGGACCGAGATCTTTGTCGATGAGGGCAAATGTTTCAGTCGTCTTCTCTTCATCGGATACATCACATTGATAAGCCTGCGTACAAAGACAGGGAGGGTTAAGCCAGTAAGTCGACCACCAAACATTTCACAAACCTTGACTTGCACGCCGAATTCTTTTCCAAGCTTCTCAGCTACTTCATGCGCGTTCTTGGAGCTCCTGAAAGACGCGTTTTATGCCAGAAAAATCAGCATATAGTCATAGAATATGGATACTCGGCTCAGAGCCAACCTGTAAATAATGGCCACTCGTGCACCAGCCTGAGCAACAGCGCGACTATAAGCATATCCGATCCCGCGGTTTCCCCCAGTGATTATGATGCATTTGTCTACGGCGAGGCAAACAATGTCAAGTGAAAGGTGATGCATGCACAATCGCAGCAGACGCACCAGAAAAGTCGATGGTGAAACCTTTCGAAGCCATGGTACGTTGCATAAGTCTATGGGGTTTGGCGTCTTTGATTCGAGATGTCTGTAACGTTGAAAAAAGAGAGGGGTGAGGCCTAGGGGATCCGAGATCTCGAACTTTTATTCTGGCGAGCTTCAAGAACTGACGTCATCGGTGAAATTGCCTTTCTCGTAGGTACTCACGTAGGATGGCGAGCACGCACGTAGCACGAGCGTTTTGTAGGCTGACATGTCTTTGTATGATAGAATAGCTGAAGATGTAAATTGCTGGCCAGGTGAACTTTTATGATTCGGATGAATCTATATATACTACCTCTCCCGACGTAATCTGTGGAGCTGTACTACTACATTGCATTCGCAGTTCCAAAGCGACGTCCCGGGAGAGGTATCAGTAGACCTTACCCTTACACAGTTGTCAAGCAAACCCAAGCACCGAGGGCCGAGTCGCAGCAATTACCACTGTATCCTGTATGAGCCCATGATAGCTCCACAAGCAAGTGATAAAATGATGCCAGAGAGATTCCTCGTCTTTGGGATGACGTATATGCACATAATACTCCACGTTATCGAGGGTGACTAGCAAAACGATGATCTTGAAGAGGTCAATCTCGGCTTGTCCGAGGGAGATGGAGCGTATCGTAGCTCTACAGAATGGCGACCCTTTCCCGCCGTTTGGTGAGAGAAGTTGTTCTATGAAGTTGGACAGTGTGACTTCGACCGGGTGCTCGTCACCGTCACCTTCAGGTAGCTGGAGCGGTGTGACAGTGGAAAGCATGTGTGATGCTATCATGCTGATTGCTGACCAAGGCCAATCATTACACCTAGATTTCATTGGGAAATGATTTATTGGACAAGAAATCGCGAGGAGCTTGACTCACAAACTGTTCAGGCACCATGGAATCTCGAAAAACAGGTACTTCAGCTCATGGCAATGTTGTCCGACTATCTCTGGCCAGGTATGACCACGAGGGTATATGATGAGTCCCGCGATCCTCCTCGCCACGTCCATCGCAACCAACCAATCCAAAAATCCGAGCCTGGTTCTTCGTCACGACCTAAATGTGTGTCCTCTCGTTCATGCAGATAATTATGACATATGTAGCAACCTACCTTGATCCAAGCGCCTGCTGGTTTGTGGATATAACCAGTCCTTCCAAGGGCCCATATTGCTATCGAGTCCCCTTGGCGTAACCCCAGTGTCAATGGGTGGTGATGTTCCATGACATGTACAGCACCATACGATCGCTTCCCCACGCTCCGAAACTGCACCCTGAGTGAAAAACAAGCGGGTTCAGAGACCTCGACGAGTCTTCCATCCTGCGTTTGGCGAAGAATAGCACATCGAAACCATTCCATTCTGTTAAGAGCGCTTTCGGAATCAGAGACCGACTTTTCCTGGCCTGGTTTCAACTCCACAGTGCCATAGATAAATATGTGAACCGACGTCACTCTTGCCCCAGAGGTTGCAATTGGGGCAGCCAGGACATATAGATATTTACTTGGCCCGCAGAAATGGTATCCCAGAAGGTGTGTGGCTGTACCCGGAAATGTGGGGATTAAATCTGTGAGATCGGGCGGCAGCACATCGTATGTGTGGTCTTGACCATTCGTATCGGTTGTCCGGTCCTCGCGAATGCAAAGTTCTTTGACGCGTAGTGTCCAGTTGAGAGGACCGACAATGATATGGTTTAACCAAAGTCCGAGGCCAATGAAGGCATAAAGGAAGTAAACACATCGCAGAGTGCAATACTCGTACCAACGTAGGTCATGCCTCCCTTTCTCTGCAATGTCGGACTATCAGCCAGGAAAGTGCGTTGAGACGTACAAAATGTACCTATGCAATGCAAGAGCATACCGCCAAACGCACCGTACTCAGTCAACAGGTAATATTTGAGTTGGTGCAATGTTATATCCTTCCCTGTCATAGTCACTGTCTCGACGTTGCTACTAGACTCTAAGGCAATGGCCATAACAATGCCTCGAGACCAAGCCCAACAATTGGCACTGAACAACGCATAGGCTCCATGTTTCGTTCCCATCTGCCTTAGAATCCGGGCAATGGAATGAAGAGTGACAGGGCTAGTATGAGTAGGATGAGCAGAAAACTGGATTTCGAAGACGGTCATGGTGTATCTCCTCCGGTGGTCTTCATGAGGATCATTCGGCTTGTAGAACATTGCTTCATCTGCGCTTCCTTTCTGACTGCCAACAAGACTACTAAGAGTCACAGGTATCCGTTCTCCTAATCCTGTGCCTTGCCAAGAATGTTCCAGATAAAGCAAACGCCTTTCATTTGCGTAAGTCAGAGTAAGGACGATGAATTCGTGACGCCAGTGGGAGAATCGAGTATCCTTGAGCAACTCCAATTTGTGTATTAGTGCCTTGCCATATTTCGAGGCGCTGGTTTTGAGAGTAGGTGCAGTGCCACGAGTCTCATCTTTTACGGTGGTGACTTGTCAACTTGTCAATATGATGTCCAAGCGCTTGAATTCAGAATTTTGTTGTGAACTCACCACTACCCCCACATACTCTGAATCTACCAAGACCATTTTACACAAATCATCGATGCAACATTCCGAATCAATATCGAATGAGGTAGTGCTGGTCATGGTATGGCATACTATGGAAGGTGTCTGACTGGGCCGTACATTATATAGTAGCAAGCCCTGCTCACAATTGTCTCATGTTCGTTCACAGCCTGTGTCATGTACAGCCGCATATGCCCTTCCCCACGTTCCATATAAACATGGCTGACAACGAGCCCTCGAGCAGTTTGATTCTGCCTCAAGTCCTGAGGTGAAATGATCGAACGCCTCATACCACCAGTGCTTTGGATGTCTCGTCCCCTCTCCAAATTTCACCTGCTGTGTTTCCAAATCTTGGATCATGTTTCCTTGCTCCAGATGGGTCGCACTTATCTTGCCCGATTTCGTGAATTTGCCGAGGCCGCTGAAATAGACGGCCTACAAGCAGTTGATCGCTGGTGTGTGGAACAGCAAGCAGAGTGGGATAGACTGTCGAACACGGCAAGCTGGCTGCTCAAACGAGTCATCGATCTTCACTAAATTATTATATCACATGAAATCCATGTTGGTACAGCTCGCGTTCCTCGCCACCATGAGTGCGGTTATCCTCGCGATTTCACCACCCGCTCCCCCTCTCGCTTTCTCTGTTTAGTTGAGAGCATCTGGGTTGAGCGCCTGCGGTCTTTTCATCGTCCAGTACTTCCCTATCCAGGCGTTCTCTATTTCGGACGAGGACATGAGAGTTAGTGAAAGATGGTAATTATATCAACTCAGCTTCGCTTGCGATTGCAGTCGCCAGCCCTGTCATATTCGCCCTCTGGTCATCTATTCTCTTTGCTGTTGGGATCGTCGATTATATTGTTGAGAATTCTCGTGGCAAACCGCAATCCATGCTACTCTCGCTTGTACCGGTCACTATCGGATTCATGGCGGGCGCAGCTGTCGTGATCATCGGCAGCGTAGTTGGGTGGCGTGTTCAAGCCCGCCTAAGTGTTCTGCTACTTGTTTGACCCTTTCTCTTCTGCCCTCACCAGTATAAGAGAAAGCCAGTGTGAGCAAGGCGGCGTGGCTTTGATGGAAATAATTAGTCTGTAATTTTTATTTCATCTTTCTATTTGCTGTGAACATGTCGCACAGAAAGTTTGTCGGACTTAACACAGAAGCGTCGCGCCCGAGCTCGAGGGACCTGTCGACTAATTGCACCACAACCCTTCAGTTGTCCAACACAGCTTGATTAGTCTCGCTTCTAAGATGATATCAAAAGTCTTAGGAAGTCTTTACCACAGTATAGACACGGAATGATTGAGCGGACTGAGTCGACTTCGTCACAATCCTTCCTCATTCGGTACAGCAGCGTTGACTTTCTCTGAAATTATTGTACACAGTGATCACATCCATCCGTTGTAGTGAACCACTCCCTCTTAAGCCCCAGCCGCGTCATTGATCACTCCTTTGTGGTGACAAGTGAATTTACCAGATAAGCTGGCCACTAGACAAATGCAAAGGGCCTGTCAGAATTGTAACTAGTGCGAAACAGGCAGACATACCCGTCAACAAAATACTCCCCGCCAGTCATGTAACTGGCATACTCAGACAAGAGAAAAAGTGCCTGGCCTGAGATCTGATCGGGCTATAATTTATAAGATGAAGTGAATTAGTGAATGCTAAATAAAACACATGGTACATACACGAGCGAGATCTCCCAAGGGAATGTGTTGCTTTTCATACTCTACGACTTTTTTGGGCAAATCATGGGTTTGATCCGTGTACACTGATACGCATTTTCAGGACGTCGTGCTTGGAAGAGAGAGATAGAACAAACACTGACCATAGCCGGGAGACACTGCATTCACTCTGATTTTGTGTTGAGCCCACTCAGCAGCCAGCCCCTTTGTGAGGTTGGAGACGGCAGCCTTGGAGGAGTTGTAGAAGACCTGCGTCAAGGGTTCGTTTGTCGCAGCTTGGTTGATGATCTGCGAGCTCATAGAGGACGTGATCACGATCGAAAGGTTCCTCAAGTCCTTGCCTCTCCAAAGCCTGCCATATTCGTCAGGTCATGCCTTCCTCAAAATACATTATGGAGCTTACTTTGCAGCAGCCACGGCGCTGTTGAACACGCCGAGAACATTAACGCTGTACACCTTGTTGAAGTCCTCCGTAGTCAGATCGAAAGCAGGCTTCACTGCAGAAACGCCAGCATTCTGCAATCAAACCGGTCGTTTAAAGAAGTAGTCTGACTGGAAACGGTTATACTCACTGCAACAAGACCTGAGACGGGGCCAAGATCTTTGTCAATGCGAGCAAAAGTTTCAACTGTTTGCTCAGCGTTGGTGACGTCACACTTATAAGCCTGTGTGGGAGGATAGGGGTCTAGATGAGGACGACATCTCTACCAGGTTATTTGCATACCTGGACTTTGACTTTATATTGCTCTTGAAGCTCTTTAGCGACTTTAGGGGCATCTGGGTTACTCCTAATATATCACACATCCATGTCAAACATTAGCGATTGGTAGCATCAAAGTATCTAAGCTTAACCTGTAGACGATTGCCACTCGGGAACCAGCCCTAGCGAGAGCGCGGCTATACCCGAGGCCAATTCCGCGGTTACCCCCAGTGACAATGGTGCATTTTCCTGCAGGCGGAATTAGGACGAGTCAGAGTGGCCGTCACTGATGGCCCAGGCGACGTACCCGAAAAGTCGATAGTCAAAGGTGAAGACATGGTGAGTTTTGTGGTGGATATGCTTTGAGTGCGAGTGTAGATGGTTGTTGAGCAGTCGGGGAAGACTAGAGAGGAGACTCGAGGCAAGCGGTATATAAACTGTCGTGGTTCGAAGACGTCATAACTGTCCCCTCTTTGAATTCAATAGTCAGTACTGTATTGGCCAAGCCAAGAACGTCCCTTCTTTGAATTTTTACTGAATTGGCCAACTCGAACTGTAAGCTGGAACTGCCTTTCTAGTAGAGTTACAGTAGTACTCACAACGCTTGGGGCGCAGGGCAATTGGCCCCTTTCAATGCAGCCACACAAATATTTTCGCTTGTGCAGAACAGTGGCTAAATAGTCTGTCACCCGAAAGCGTGAGGCCGCCGATTAAGAGAATCCGCACTGTTGTAGAGATTAAGCTGGCCGTGTCATGTCTCCATTCACCCCAAATCCCACCACCTCTCACGCATCGACTCAGGTATGACCCACTTGAAACGAGATCAACATAAGTTATCCCTAACCAAGGCTACAGTACCTACGCTACTTGTGCTTGCCCGTAGCTTTCCCTTTACCTTTATGGAAAGCCTTGCCCTCAAAACCAGGTCGAGCTTTAGTTTTCCCCTTTGACGATGAAGACTTTCGTTTATCGCTCCGTCGCTCATTTCGCATCGCGATGTTATCTGAACGTTTCTTCTGCTTTGCAGCCATGGAAGCCGTGAGTTGGTCTTTCCTCTCCTCCCTACAACGAGATGAGTATCAATAAGAAGTCGAGTGTATCATCAACAACTTACCAGGACTTCTTACTCTTGGTTTTCTCCTTTTCTTTCCGTTTTACTGCTTTCTTGAGGCGCACTTCATCATCTTTGACCTTAACGCCTTCAAGACGCGCCTCCGCTTTTGCCCAGCGACTCTTATCTTCTATAACTTTGCGTTTGTCCTCTGGCATCGAATCTAATTTTTCCTTCCGCGCAGCGAGCTGCGATAAAGCTTGATTCGGATTGGAAGACGTCTTGAGTGATGCGGCCTTTTTGCTCGAACTCCCGGCCACCACAGCAAAAGACACATTAGTCAACGGACCATCGGTAAGGCGAGATGCAGCAGTTCCTTTTGAGGCGGCCGGCAAGTCCGGAACAAGTAGCTGATTCTGTTGGTCAAGCACAGGGATGAACTCAAATTAGAACCTTGCAAGATGCAAAATACCTTGACAGGAAGACCCCTCGTCACTTCCTTCTTGCTTCCCTTTTTGCCTTCAGCCTCTGCCTTGCGCCTCTCTTTTGTCTCTTTTCGTCTTTTTTCACGAAGTGCGGCGCGTTGCCTTCTCCGTTGTTCTAAAAGTTCGTCTTTATCTCCCGGCTCTCCACCACCTTGTCCACCACGTCGGAGGGCTGCCATGCGCAGATGCAGTTTATCTCGAAGAGCAGCGATACTCTCCGGTTTAGCCATGGGCACTATGGGGTCGAGTGGGGCGGTCACAGCGGTATCGCTGAGATCCACATCATCCACTTGCATAACATCGTCGTCGTCGGCACCAGAATCGGACCCGAGCACCGCAGCTTTCTGTTTCCCCTTGACTTTCGAGTTGGTTTTTTCCAACTCAAGAGCAGCTTCATTCTGAAGGTCGATGACCGACTTTTGATTGGCTGGGTCCAGCTAGGAAAATAAGAACTCAGACTCAGAAGGGAACATCAGGTAGTGATGATAGTGGAAGACCTTATCCCTGCGAGCCTTTTTTGATGCCTCCTTCGCAGCTTGTTTGGGTGCCTTTTTGTTTTTGCTGTGTTTTTGATACTTGGACGGAACCTGTTCGAAGCGCATAATGCTATTCAGATTCATCTTGAAAATTTCAATAACGCACGTTGTTGTCTGCATCATGATCATCTTTGGCCAGGTAGTATTTGGCGGGTATCAGGTTTAGTAAAGTCTCGAAGGTATCATTATGAGCCTCGACTGAGGTACGCAGGACTTCGACGAGTGTTGTGGACATTGGCACGAACAGGGAGATCAGCTTGCAACGGGAGCAGAATCCAAGGACTATTATTACGTCATACAAGCCTATGCACAGTGCCCTCTACGTATATATACTAGGTTCGAGGTCTAACGCATGTACTAAGTCGAGGACAGCCGATATGAACATTGTCGATCACAATGGCATGCCTGTCTGCACCTGCACCTTTTCTTCTTTCCAGGATGGCATGTACAACATGCAAGAACGGTGAAAATAATCAGGAGACTAGTTTATAGTTCAACTGGCCCTCTAACTGAAGCATCTGTCATTTGAGAAATCTCTTGAAATTACCTAGAACAGTGTTGGAACTTCGAAGGGACCGACATCCGGTAAATAGGAGAAAAGCAGCAATGGTAATCGCTGAGCAGCGAGGCATAGCAGGGCAAAACAACAAAAAGATGTTTGAGTACAGTTGAGGCTAGAAGTTTGAGAACATCGTTAAATAACTAGATATATATATCTGCCTCCCATGAGATATAGAGCCAGATATATCTAGTATAAAACTCACCTGGGTCATCACGGACATGATAGTGACAAGGGCGTAAAAACAGGGATCGTAAATGAAGCGGTCGCCATCTACTCCTCACTTTCGACTGCACTCCTCTAAAAAACCGCCAAGCACGTTCCTAGGGGAGACAGTATTCCGAACAGGTACTATAAAGTTCTCTGGAGACATACCCGAGGTGTCCATCGATTTGGCAAAGAATCTCGTTGGTCATAGTCTCTATTTGAAGTTGTACCCGAGTACTCAGTTGCCCCGTACCAGGGCATAGAATCAACTGACAACCTCTTCGAATTTACGATGTCAACATTGGTAAAACAAAACCGTGAGACAACCTACCGGGATGAAGCTATAGAGGCGATCTGGGGGAGGCGACACATGAGAGACCTGACTATAACCGTCGTCCTGAAAGAATTCCCGAACCGTAAGACTGAGAATACTATGCTCGAGCAACATGAAAACTCACCACATTAGCATACATGTAACTCGACGGGGCGCCGTATGGATGATTAATCATGGTGGCCCAGCATGAACGAGCATGGGTATGACGGTATACTATGTGCTACTGGTGCTTTCTGTTCGTTCGAGCCGCGGGATCAGAAAACTGCACGCAGATAAGGAAGACCGCTCTACACAGATTGACAGGTGACCATATGGCGATGGGAAAAGAGCAGTGCCGACACGGCCACCGATAACTAGGTTGTGATGGACATAGCCCGTGTTTGGTTCGCAACTAGAAAAGTGAGCCGAAATCTGGGTTCGAATTCCTGATGCTACTTACATAATACTACATAACATCAAGATGCGCCCTCAGCTCAACTCTTTCGAGAATCGAACTGAATGCACCAGCCATACCAAGTTCACCAATGGCCACTGGGCCAAGGCCAAGTCGCAGTGTTCCGAATTGCCGTGGACTCCGGAGATGCCCAACTCTTGAAACTGTCACCCCATCATCATGATCACTAGGTCAGAGGAAATTTATGTTTTAATAGTACGACGAACCCATTAATGATGGAACAGAATCTGCATGGTCACACCATATTACCATCCTGCGGTGTCTTCTCATGTTGAGGTGACCTTCTACCGAAGTTCAAGTTCTGTTGAAGTGGACCACGCGGATGGCCAAGATGCCCCGACAGGCCCAAGGTCCAATATATCACTATATTAGCCCTATCCCACATTTTTTTCACCGTCTCCTGCATTCTCCAATTTACGTGTTGCTCATGACCCTGGGAACATGAGGGAAATGTCTGGCCAGTTCAATGCTCTCCCATCCATCAACTTCAAGCTTGCCATGTACATTCTTGACCTCGCGCACATCTGGTTCTGAAGGCATTGCTGACACGGTCAAGACGTTCCCCGGAAAACCTGATTCTCGGTCCTGGAGTGATGACGACAGATAAGCAGCGGGTGGAATATTTTGCCGTTATCCACCCTTGAAGTAGTAGTATTCCATGCATCAAGATGACTTTGTTTTAGCAAAGATTTTCTGGTACGCTACTACGATATCATCAGATGGCGCAAGGAGAGATCCTTGTTAGTATTAACAATTCGCAGGCCGCTGATGATTGGGCACGTTACCCCTTCTTATCTCTGCTTTTGAGACGCTGGTGTAGTTCATTTCTGTCTCCTTACATCATCGTCTCCTTGGTGCAAGTAATATATTTGAACAGCACAATACATATCACACCATTCAGGCAAGGAATCTCTTGATCATCAGAACACGAAGAATGAGCTCATGTCGTAGGTCTCCAGTTATCCTGTATCCCATGAACAGCAGTGTGGTGGTATGATGAAGCTCCGCATGATCGGTACGACTCATACGACATCAAGCCAGTCGAGAGCTAGCAGTTGGAACACCTTTGGCGGACTCCACTGAGTTCTAGATGTTACTAGCGTCCAGTCGGCTAATGCCCACTGTGCATTGCGCGTGCACATCTGCTACCTATAATCTTGCTTATGTAGGTCCTTTTTTGATGAAATCTTGACGAATTGCACTCCCAAGCATAGTCTTGCGAGAATTAGGCTGCACTTGCCGGTATGTTGCTACCTTATGAGTGGATGGTGCAACAGAATAATGACCAATATCGAAGACGACATTAACTCAGCTGTTCCTAGCTGTCTGACTCTTGGTGTTGCTGGTCAGTTTGTTCTCCAATGAAGCTCTTCAGTTAGCCCACGTTAGATTCATGATTAGATGACCACTGGTGGAACTGATGCAGAACGTGCCGAACAGAATATCGGAAAACGTTCCTTCACTGATGCTCCGTGTCGTGCAATATTAATGAGGCTCCACAGTTAGTCTAGGTTAGGTTGATGATTAGATAACCACTGATGAAACTGATGCAGAACGTGCCGAACAGCATTGAATTTGGAACCTATTACTTTATCGAAGCGCCCTCAAATAGTTCGCACGCTTCATTGAAATCCAAAATCCCCCAACCATTATGATGTACTTTGCTTCGATCGAGGGCTTCTGATCATAGAACTTCTTCCCCGTTCTCATCATTTCGTTGACAATAGTTGCTACGATCAATCAAGATTCTCGCTCGAAGAACCGATATCCAGACTGGTCGCTATAAAAGCGGTGGATGGTGGTATGTCTGCACAAACTCCATACGCCCCATCCAGATATGACCGTTGTCTCAAATGATCCCGCTTGGTTGCAGTATATCAGTACTGTTAATCTTATCAGTTATTTTTCAGGTCCGTAGAGAGCAAGTGGGATGAAGATCGTGATGTCTCACTATCACTGATTTGTTTTGCAGTTGTATCCTCTGCCGCGGTGATATACGATTGGGGTGAGCGAAATAATGCTTTCCGAGGGTATCATTAATGTTTTCATTCCAAGTATTAACGTTCGGACAAGAGGTAAGTTGATGTCATCGGCGCAGCCGTCTCACTAATAATACTTCGACAGTTCGAACTGGTCTGGGTAAGCAAGGTCCTATAGAGCAAACTGTATAATGCGGTTGACTCAGAGCAGAGGCAACGTTGGTCTATCATGACCGCTCTTTATATATGTGTACATTGTGTCATGAGCGCAGTTGACATGTTGTGCTGAGTCGACTTGAACCTATTCTAGGTTCGCTACATTGGAATACTATATTCTGTGTAAATTTTCGAGGCTAATAAGTTGACACTGCACTGTACTAACTTACAATTAGGGTCCTCATACTATGTATGTATCCCCCGAAATACACTGTTTGTTTTTTCTAACTGGTGGCATGTAGGGAATATCCCAGTGTTAATGTCAGATATAGTGGGTGTTCTGCACCGATACCTCCCATTCCCATTCATTTGCTAACTGCACTCTCACACAGGAGTGAGTTATATTTTCAGCTGCCTTATGTTGAACATAATGACTGCAACAGCTGTAAGTTCATTCAAAGCACGGAGTCCATCAATGCGCACCAGTGACCTGGGTTTTCAGGCCTTATCCTTTACTTCATATGGACATTGACCCCTGTCGTCGTCAATGCTATGCTGGGCGGTGAGCTCACCTGCGGTATCTTACTGAGATTGACTTGGCTGAAATACCACACAAGTCATCATGTTGATTCGGATACATGCGATGTATGGACAATCCAAAAAGATGCTCATCTTTCTCGTTATAGTCTTGTTTGCTTTCACGATCGCCTCCGGCATTACCGCAGTAATGGCGAACACCGGTATTTTAGTGGGTAAGTTTTAATTTTCAATGGAACCCTCAAGCGCATAAAACTCATGAACAAATACCAGAGGAATTCGTCCTTTTTGGTTCCCCTATGTGTCTTTTCGAAAAATCTGCCGCGTACCAGATGAATCTGGGTTATGAGAGTTTGATATCTACCGCTATATGGGAGGTCCTCGCCTCCGTTCTGGCAGTCTGGATTGTTATAAAACACTTCCGTGAACTGCGACAATTTCCGACAGGATCGACTATTGGGGACTGTTATATGGCACTGACTAAAAGTCACGCATTTTACTTTGTAGCGTGAGTTTGGTGGTTTGGATGTTATTATCTTGTTTCGCTGATGTTTCGCATGTGTTAGCTTTGCTGTTGTGACTTGCTTCACCCTAGGCTTACTGTCTCCGAATATCATGGTGCGCCAACCTACGAATATGTGCCCGCCCGCTCATCATCATTTCTACAGTTCTCACCGTCTGTGGGAGCTGCCCTTTATTCCGATGTGCTCCAAGTTGCCCAGGTGTTGCAGATGTTTGTGTTGGGGCCACGCCTCATCCTCAGCATTCGTGAATATCACGCTGAGCTTGTGGCCAGGTCTGACGAGGGAATAGGCATGACGTCCATTTATTTCCAGGCTGGTGGTGATGCGTTGATTGGTGGAGATGTGATTACCGGTGGAGATGTCTAGCACAGGAAACGATCCAAATGATCAACCACGATCACCTACCACTACAGGGGGCATGTAGATTTTACTAGTTTCGTTGTAGTTCCGGAGTGATTTAGAGGATATAATGAGGTCTCTGCAAATCACTGACATGCTATATTACTATTGGAATTATCTCGATTCAACCATGATGAGGAAAGAACAAGTATTTTCGTTCCAATGACTCTCAGGGCCAGCAATTCGCTAGCCTAGTGTATCGAGAACGTAAAATTTGAAATGGTTTTGTTCCCTTCCCCTACAAACTAGTTATACCCAATTCTTTATACCCGCAACACCCAAGGCCCGTCTTCTCATGGGTTCTCGTGTTTTATTCAAACCAATTCCTACCCGCTGACCACCGCCCTGCAGTCCATGCCGTCGACCTTCTGCCAATTCTCGATTTCTACGGTGCAAATATAAGCGACATCCTCACCCACTCCAGCATGGACTGTTGTAGATGACGGAGGACCGCTTGATTGGTTGATTAAATGAGTGCTTCAGGTTCTCGTTGATATGAAGGAAGATATTAAAGGATCTTGGATACTATCGAGTGAATTAGATGTAGGAAAGACGTTTTATGAATTGAAGTTAAACTTACAATGTATCTGAGCTGTTGATCGGTTTCTAAGATGTTGACACTTGGTACTCGCTTGAGCAAACAATTGGGCGTTTGTGACGTACCCGTTTGCAGTCAGAAGGAAACCGAGTCGCACCATCTGCTGAAGCTGGATCTTCAAAGCTTGCAGTGCTCATCCAGGCCGGCACTATATTCACCGGCGCTCAGTTCTATTCGTTGCAGGCAGTTTTTACGAAAATACCATAAGAATTGCATACAACATCGTAGTCAAAATCACCTACAACGAGGATGGTGTAATACGGGGAGTCGACGTTTTATCGAGGCCCTTGCTCCTTGAAGACAATCAGAAAGTGCCCTGATTGAAAGCTTCTTCAGCAGGTAAACAATCAAACTTTCCAATGAGTCAGCCTAGGAATCACACAAGTAGTGTTAGTAAGGAGATTAATGAATTCAACGATACAGTGCAATTTTCATTGCAGTCTATTGCCGTTTGAGATGTACGTACGAGCCCATCGAGTTGGACCAGTGAACGTTGTCGTATGTGAAATGATTATTGCGTGTGAGGTAGTGGAGAGATGTGAGAGGATAAATAGCTTACAACATCATAGACATGCAAGTAAGAGAGAGAAAAGAGACGTGCAGAGACTCACGGGGCCGGTGAAAACGCGATCGTGACGTGCATGTGACACGGCGTATGTGATGCAGCACTGTCACCGTAACTCCTACCACGTAGTGAGTCGTGCTGCTTCCACACCAGTGCTATATGGTAAGACGCATGCGGCCTCGATCGGATGCTCGACTATTTTGGGCGAGGTTTGAAGGACTTTGATGGCGGCGAAGTTGAAGTTTGGGTGATCAGGCCTAGTGGAATGTTATTTCAAGTTGCTTTCTTTGTGGACTCGGACTTGGATGCCCTGTCACCTAGCACTTACTTGAAGCACTGGGATGCTATGCGAACTGGGCAGGTCCAGGTACGAATACCACACAATATCGCAGTACTATGTACAGGAGGGTTGGGGATCACATTTGTAGTTGGAGGGTACGTGAATGGGACTGAGTTTGGAGGTAGCACGGCCACAGCGGACAAAAGAAGCAGTACTGCTCAACTCCTTCACTTTACTCGCAACCGACTCGCACCATCAACAATTCGTGCTTTTCTGTGCCTCGGAGCCTGGGGCAGAAGTGCTCTTCTGGCGATGGAGGACCTTCTAGCCTCTGTAAGGAGTTGAAAACGAAAGCGAAATGGAGTCGAAGCTGAGGAGGACGACGAGGAAAGTAGTAAGATTTATTTGATTGTTCAATTAATACACTCTTCTTAGTAATGTACCTGCAGTGTTCAGAGACACCCGGGCCACGGTGTTTTCCATCTAACCGCGGTGTTGACGGGTCGGTGTGTACCCGTGCGGAACCCTATGCAGCATAGACTACTAATCTGGAGCCGAGATTAGGCTTCAGCGAAGTAGAGGGTCTGAGTCATCATATCTGCACGATCCAGGTATCTCAACCTGTCAAACTTCTTTTATTGCATTTCATCCAAATGACCACTGGTATGCTCGCAGGTCTCCTTATGTTGTGGTCCACGAGTTTTAGAAACGTAATTTGGACGCTGATGGACCTCCAATGTCACTCCTTGACTGGCCACAACAATTTCTTTCTAGACTTGACGGTGGCGCCAGCATCAGCACGCGGCCTGCATGCCGTGTTTTCGGTGCGGCGTAGACAGTCGCACTTACTCGATCATCTCTGATATGCAATGACAGTGTTCGACTTCCATCTCTATATCCGGGGTCATGAATGAACACTTGCTCCCACCTCGCATAGAGCGCATGTTCTCCTGTGCTCAGTGAAAATGCCTGTGACGTTCTATTCTGATGGGCCAGATGCGCGCACGATTTACCTGCAGTAAATCATTCATGCGGAGTTCAATTTGTCCCTTATAACTGCTGTTCGTTGACTTTAACTTCCCAACCCGCCTGCGAATAGTTCTTTATGACTGGGCAGAAGCTCCTCTTGGTGTTGACAATCATCATCTCCACTTGCATATTCTCTCTTTGCTGGGGGTTCATGATTATAGTTTGGCATCAACGATATGTGATTCTCCCCGACTCCGTCGTCGACCTCATTATAAGATATCCTACTGTACTCACCCTCGTATCCACTGTGATATCCACCGTTCTGTCAGTAATCACCACGGCGTACGTTCAGATAGCTAGGTGTACGCAATGCTTCGCTGACATCTGCATCTGCATCCAGCCTTTTATCGTTCGCTGTCAAAAAGGCAATCAACCATTATATTACTCGACCAATATCACTGGTCGAACTTCATACTGCAATAGCTCTCACCAAACCACAACCCCTTCTTCGATGGAATCATTACAAACTCTCACTTTTCACGTTGATTCCTGTCTGTTTGGTTACGCTCCTCAATTCAAGGTTTGAAATTATGCTCACGAGCGCCATAACTGACACATACCATATCGCAGCTGGACGACATTACTATTGCCAACACCGTTTATGTGGCCTGTACCAATCAATGGCACAGATCTGAACCTCGGGAGCAGCGCCTTCGACACGAAACTAGGTCTTGACATGGATGAGCCAGGAAGTAAGGACTGTGTATCCTTGGTCATTGTGTGGTACCCATTGATAACCTCGTTATAGGTTACGAGAATGGTTATTCTATCCTCGAAATCATGGCGCCAACGAGCGGGACTTCAGCCACATGTTCAGCTGTTGCAGGTGGAAGTGAGAGTGTCTTCGCCTTCAATGGTGTCTTGTACAACAAATCCACTAGTACGTTCTGATGTAACAACGTACCTGGATTAGTATCTCATTCTGTTATCAGGTGGCATCCTTCCAGCTGTCGAAGAGTATGCAGGCACGACATTGCACCCTGGTGGTATTGGTCTTGAGTTCTACGGTGGAAAAACCGCGGCTAATACATCGCTCGTCAAAGACCGGGGTCATTCCGGACTCGCTAGAAATTATGCAATAACTCAACAGGGTCTTTCGGCGAATATTACCTGCGGTGACCTTGACCCAAACAAGTTCTCGCTGAATTTCACAACTACGAATTCGTCAAATACAACTTGGTGGGTAGGGATAGCTTCTTGCCCTCTCGGCAGTGTGTCTGCATAGTCCACCTGTATCTGAAGCAGCCTGATGTTATTTGTCAGCGGGTTCCGGCTCTTGGTCGACACTGGATTCTGGACATGTTGACTTTCTCGGTATTGTTATCTGTCCCACTCCCCACGTGAATAATGGAGCCACATCATTCGGTAAGCAAGTTCAACGTTGAGAAGTGCTAATGTTGATCGTCGCCACTATCTTAGACATCCTCCTGCAGGGCATGGGAGACTATAATTTCCTGGATGCAACAGTCTGCAATGTAGTACCATACGTGGCTTCGTTCAATGTGACATACAATCAGACAATGATCTCTATCGATCAACATCAACCTCGTAATATCCAGCCACTCCAAAGCAACAGCACCACTGTCTTATCGGACATAGTGGAGATGCTGTCTGACTCTATTCAGACAACGTTCACCAACCGTTTGGGGCAGTTGCTGCAGCTTAGCAGTTTGGACCCCACAAGCTTTCTGAATGAAACGTTGGTGAGTAGGTTTTGTCGCGTTTAGAACGGCAAACAAATTGTCTCACTTGCGAGTTTCACAGGAAAACTACTTCCGTGGCGTTGTAGAGTTTTCTGCCACAGTAAGTGAACGATCTCGTCTTACTCCTCACTCTCAAATGGGGGTTGATATACTGTAGTACCTTCGTTCTGCCTACTTTGCAGAAGGTGCCAGTACGAATTCAGCGATGCAGGACTTGTACTCGAACCCAGAAGCTTTCATACCCCTGAATGGAACAATGTTTATCGCGACCTACGGCTGGTACAGTGGACGCATCACATACATCTATATTATCTGCGTCTTCACGGTCATCTGGGTGGTCACTGTCTTAGCTGCGGTGTACAGTCTGATTCATGAATATACCCACCCACGCACCAGTTCCGTTTTCGATGTGTCGAACCCAGTCCATCTGATGATGGCATCTGCGGCGGGGGGACTAGAAACGCTGGCAGGATTTGAAGATGATGGAGTTTCGGAGAATGAACGTGCACGAGTGCGTCTTTTTGATGGTCGTGATGTGGCACCTGATAATGCAATGAGAGAGAACACACGCGCTCGGCCTACTAAACCGACATCCCGAGGTTCGAGATTGTACCGTAGGAGCAGCCCACAGCTGCTGGACATAACGTGCCGTGAAATCTTTCATTTGTCTTGCTACCATGATCTGTACGGCTACCAATAGTAACCTGCCCTTATACCACGTGATTGTTTTTTTTTCCTTTCATCTGATACTTACAGTCTGCGCATCGCACCTTATTCCACGTGTTGCTCTTACAGAAAACCTACAAAAGATCCAATAGATAAACTTGTAAAGCTCGGTGTTCTTGCAGCAGGCAGCCTTCGGAGAATGACATCACAAAATTGCTCAACTCAATGATATTCCCGATTTAGACTGTTGTGCTGTATTTTGGCAAAAACAAAAAAATATTACGTCATGATCATTAGCTGATTTCTTCAGTCCACCGGCCCAGTTCTCCCAGCATTTAAGCTCAGTACTCATGTTCTGTGCAACGGGAATGACGAGCATGAAATGTTCAAACCTTGCCAGCGGCGGCAGCTATTCCTTTGATTCACTATGAGGAGGCGCAAGACGTGGATCAAAAACTCTCGAGCTCCATTCTATACGCGCAACCACATCCCATCGTCATCGGTGATTCGGCACATGCCCTAAAAACTAACAGGGAAGTGACGAGTGTCACCTGACCGGAAGTCGTTCAGTCGGTGCAGAAGCATCTGTCACTGCATGCTCAATATTACATTGTATCCGGCATCTCTACATATCAATCACTGGAATAAGATGTAGAGCTAGAAGTATTGATTTAGCAACTGCGACAGACGAAAAGGTAGAAACTTACTCATGATAGACCTAGTCTCCTCTAGCCAGACGAATCGACGGAAGGTAGTACGTTCCTTCGTACTTCTCCGAGTCGGACTTTTGCAATCCTGCCAGCGTGATCCATGTGCCATGCGGCTCGAATCAAGCTCAACACGTCCAGGTATGACCAAGGCATTCCAAGGACTGTAAAATGCCTGTCGGGAAGCGGGTGGTACCCAGAATAAGAGCCGATTATTTGGCCCAACCATCCATCCGTCATCTCTCAGCAAAAAGGAGGTCGACCCGGGCTCATCATAGGAGGCGTCTGCGATTAACTCTGCAGTGTTGCAGAGTGCATGGGTAGAGTTAGGGGAGAAATTTATGACGTGCTCTGGCAAATTGACATCTCCTGCATACCAGAGCCGGATTGTGCCATCCGCTGAGCAAGATACGATGCGAGTGCCATTTGGTGAGAATGAGACGCAGTTCACCAAACCAGTGTGCCCCCGCAGGGGCTCACCAACTTGAACTAGCTGCTCCTTTGCTGCATCCAACAGCCGAACAGTGCGATCCGAAGAACCAGTCGCGACATGAATCCCATCTGGCGAGAAAGAGACTGAGTTGACGGAATCAGTGTTCTGCAAGGGCTTTCCAATTTGGTTCCCAGTTGCTACATCCCACAACCGCGTAGTCTTGTCCAAAGAACCGGTCACAACGCGAGTACCATCGGGGGAGAATGATACTGAATTAACTGAACCACGATGCCCCCGCCAGGTACCAACTGCCTGCCCAGCTGCATTCCATAACCGCACAGTCATGTCCGAAGAACCGGTCACGACGTGAGTGCCATCCGGCGAGAATGATACTGCATTAACTGAACTACGGTGCTCCCAGTGTTGACCGACTTGCTTCCCCGTCTCCACATCCCACATTCGGACAGTCTTATCTGAAGAACCAGTCACAACACGAATCCCATCCCGCGAGAATGAGACCGAGTTGACCGGACCATCATGCCCACACCAGGCGTCACCAACTTGCTGCCTCATCTCTACATTCCACAGCCGAACGGTGTTATCCCAAGAACCAGTTACGATGTGAGTCCCATCTGGCGAGAACGAGAGTGACTTGACAGAGGAAGTGTGTCCCTCCAAGGGCGGATCAGCTAGCTGCCCTGTCACTATATTCCACAGTCGGACGATGCCGGTGTCCAAAGAACCAGTAGCGATGTAAGTCCCATTCGGAGAGAAAGAGACCGAGTGGACAAAACGAGTGTGCTCCCACAAGGACTGACAACCCGACTGCACTGATGCATCTGACTGCACTGCTGCATCCGACTCCACTCCTGCATCCCACAGCCAAACGGTCCCATCCGAAGAACCAGTCACGATGCGAGTGCAATCCGGTGAGAACGATACTGAGTTGACCGGACTAGTGTGCTCCCGCAAGGGTTCAGCAATTGGCTGCCCCGTCTTGGCGTCCCACAGCCTAACAGTGTTATCCGAGGAACCAGTCACAATGCGACTGCCATCTCGTGAGAATGAGACTGAGTTGACCGAACGAGTATGCCCCAAGAATGGCTGACCGACTATCTCCCCCGTCGCATCCCACCGCCGGGCAGTGAAATCTAGAGAGCCGGTTGCGATGTGAGTCCCATCCGGCGAGAATGAAACTGAGTTAACTGAATCAGTGTGACCCTGTATGGGTTTACCGACTGGCTGCCCCGTCGCTGTATCCCACAGCCAGATAGTGTTGTCTGAAGAACCAGTCACGATGCGAGTCCCATCCAGCGAGAATGAGACCGAGTTCACTGAACCATTATGCCCCCGCAAGGGCTCACCAACTGGCTTCCCCGTAGCTGCATCCCACAACCGGACAGTGTGATCCGAAGAACCAGTTGCGATGTAGGTGCCTTTCGACGAGAACGAGACTGAATTAACTGGACCATCGTGTCCACGCCAGGGCTCCCCGATGGGCTGCCCATTCGCCGTATCCCATAACCGGACAGTCTTGTCCGAAGAACCAGTCACGACGCGAGTTCCATCTGGCGAGAATGTGACTGAGTTAACTGAACCGGTGTGTCCCTGCCAGGGCTGACCAACTGGCTGACCCGTCGCTGCATCCCACAACCGGATAGTCATATCCTCAGAACCGGTCACAATGCGAGTCCCGTTCGGCGAGAACGAGACTGACAGAACCCCTCGTGTATGTCCACGGAGCACGCTCTGAACAGCTGTCCAGTTTTTATCATATCCAGCTGCCAGACGGAGAATCTTCGGAAACTTTGCAGCGAACTTTTCAGATATCACAGATTTGACGGGCGAGAACGGTAGTGCTGATACATATAGATGTGGCGTGCTGTGTAAAATGATGTTGCCAAAGATTTGGATGAATCTCTGCACATCCGTTGCAGTCGACAAAACATCCTCGTATCCGGAATGGCCCTGCGCTCGAGCGTTAGCGTTTCATTTAATGCTACCCAGTAGTAGCTGTGCTTGCCTTCAGCCACGGGACAATGAGTGACAGCACAGGACCTGCTCGGTTGAGTGCGTTGAGAAGGCTGAGTGCTTCGAGCCAGAAGAGCAATTGCTCGTGACGCAGGAAATTTCTCACTTTCTTTGCGAGAACCGCGTCAAAGACTGTTTGTTGTACGTGCGTGGCCCAAAATCGACAGGCATAGGACAAATGTGGGGGAATGCTTTTTTTGACTCGTTCCTGTAGCCCGGTGTCGTTGCAATTAGGGAGATATGATGTCTTTAAATCACAGATATTGAAAGAAAGTCTGAGTTTCATCACTCGAAGTGATGCAAAAGCAAGGTCGTGTTGCGCCTTTGATGTATCGATGAAAAATTTCCCGCTGCATGATTCGTCCGTCAGAAAATCGCGAAAGGTGGCATGAAGGGGTCGGATGGGGGTTGATGAATTGGTAGTGCCGCTGAGTAGGGATCCCATTTGTTTCACTATATGCTCCACCTTGTAATGCTCCTCTGGGTATGGAAATTGGCACCGCATGGCATTCAGAGACTCTATAGAGAGGGGTTCTGCTGCGCCAAGGATTTGTCGCATCACGGAATGAAACCTTGTTAGCTGTTTGCGCTGAGTCGCCGTATTATATTTATCATCTGGCATGATCACTGTCAAAAAGAAGTGGTACATATCGTACAGCAGGTGGTTTCGCTCGGCAGGATCACGGGATGCCACGGCGTCAAAGGAGTCATCTGGAGATGCGCCAGTAGGGGGTTCTTTGATGGTTCCGCAAGCAAGACGCGCCCATTCGAAAAGTCCATCAGCTTTCTCAGCGAGGACTGCAAACTGTCTTTCCCCAAAATTCGACAGCCCTTCCAGCTTCTTCGACACGTAAGTGTGGATATCGCGCTCCGCAGTTTTCGGTGGAATTTCGTCCATGGACACTTGTTGAATATGCTGAGCATCGGCAAACTCAGCATCAATGTCACGCAGTGGGCGTGAGGTAACGATAAAGCGGAAGTTATCTGGGAGTTCTGTAATTTTTCGAACATCCGAGTTTTGAAGCTTCCCGGAAAGAATGCGAAGAAGGTCACACCGTGTGTCCGTTCCCCCACTTTCAGTCCAGCGCGTCGATAATGATTACAACAGGGTCTGCGATTGGTTTAGAGAGCTCCCACAGTGGTTTCGTGAGAAGCTTGTCCCATTGCTGAATAATATCTGCCGTATTCTTGAGCGCTTTATCGTTCTGAACTGCACTCGCCAAGGCTCGTCTCATCGGCGGATGACGGTCAGGCCAGGTCGCACGCGATGGTAGAGAAAATCTTTTGATGGCGGAGGTCAGCACTTTGGCAGCGGTCGAAACAGTAACAGGAACCAAGCTTTCCCCCACCGATGAACGAGCTAGCGATTGTGTGAGCAATGGCTGTTTTGCCCGTCCCAGCAGTGCCAGATAACCACAGCACGCGTCCAGCAGAATCTCCACGTTTATTGATCCATTCCGTGATCTGGGAGATGATCTCTTTGCGGGTCCCTGGTAGGCATTTTTTCCTAGTATCTAGCCCTGCGCCCACTGCATAAGTCATCTCCATGAGATTTAATTCATCGCCTGAAGAGATGAGTTTTTGTCGAATCAGGAGTACGTTCGAATCCTTACCAGTACGGTGAACGAAGATTGCCACATCCCGATCAACTTGATCCCGGAAGTTTTGCATGAGCGCGTCCAACTTGTCGATATAATTTTGGATCGCACTGTTTGTTTCCGAGAAAACATCTCTTCTCAGTCTCTTCCCTATGATAATGATAGAGAATTCAGTATGTGCAAAGCGCAAATATCTTGTTCAAGACTCACAGAAGTTTTTGGTGCTCGAATAGTCTCTAATAAAATGGGCACATTCAAGGGTCTGTTGAGAGATCCGGCCAACGATCTTATGCAGCGACGAAATCTGCTCAAGTGTCTCGTCCTGAAGCATGAAAGCGTAAACTTCAGCCACTTTGTCGACAAGGCGAAATACTGCTTTATCGCGATCTACTTGAGCGAGAACAATCTGCATAGATAATAATTGAACAGAAGATAAGAATGAAAGCGAAATTAAACGTACTTTTGATGCGCAAGATAACATGCACAGTGCCATCTTTGCATATGGATGTACCTATGGAATGGGATCAGTCCGGTCCCGATGCAGAAGAAGGGCCCATACATCTGCGATCCCATCAATGACACGGTCGAATATCTTAAGGGGTTCGAGATATGTGTTCCTGGAAATTATCTGCAGTATCGAGATCCGCTGGTCCATCTCTGGCTACGGACATCACGTTTTCTGCATGTTCTCCAAGTGTCTTGATGTCACGTATAGCTTCACGGGCAGCTTGAAATGCCGCATCCGCCGATTGGGGTTTAGTGTCATCTTCCGCACGAGAAGGGCCGTCCTGAACACGCACGACCGCCGAAGGGGGAACACCACTTTCTTTCACACTGGAAGGAGTATTTTGAACCTGCGATGCCACAATGGGAACAGCTCCTTCTTTCACATCAGGAGGGATGTTTTGATCGTGCATGGCCATCGATTTTGGAACACCATTTTCTTTCACAGCGAAAGGTGTACTTTTTTGAACCTGCGACCATCAGAAATCAGAAATAGCATACAAACTGAAGCGCAAGTTTGACCAGCTACCTCAATATCCGGAGTGGATAAAGCGCCTTCATGGTTGACATTTTGGCCACGACCGCGGCTCCCGGAACGCTTGAAGCGCTTGCGTACAATTTCAGCGCCTGATTCCAGCACGGCTCAGCATTCTTATTGACTTACGGAGAATTGGTCAAATACACCCTTAACCTTTAGTAGCAATGAACGAGCTCTACCACGGGGTCTTGCCTGGAGCGGAGCGTGCAAGAGTCAATACATTAAGTGCGATAAATTTCAGAAACAAGCCACGTACTGCCAAGGCTTCACTAGCTGCGTTGGCACTGCTGAAAGCTTTTGAAGGAGGGTATGTACTTGAACGTTTCATACGAGAATTGAACTCTTCGCTCATCGCGAAGGGGAAGGGGTGTATCAGCCTGAACGAAGTACGAGAGGGTGTGAGAAGTGTGTACTTACCTGAGGAGAACGGTTTAACTAGGTATTGGGACGGGCGTCACGACGGAATTCCGTGAGTACCTTCAAGTTCGATCTTCGCGGACATTGGCGGTATCTTTCACTGCTCCCCTGACTGAAATAATAACCATCCAATTTCTGTGCATCGACTTGCAGAAGCGTGTTCCATCAATTGCCCACAGTGACTTAGCAGTCGTGACTTGACGGCGCTGAGGAACTGAGGTGTCAACTTACTTTGAACTCGCTATAACGAAGCAAAATTCTCGTGAACCAGTAGTACTGGTGTTTTGGGGCGCCTGAAGAATCACAATACAAAGTAACCTTATCTGCATATCAGCCGTTCACGTCGGATGAGTTTGATAGTGGCTGATGTCTAAATAAGCGCGCGTCACGATGAAGTTACAAAGAGCACTCAGCATTCTGCCATTACAGAAGTGAGCAAAAACCTTGTGAATTATCAAGTGTAACTGTATCAGCGGTCCATTTTGGAAGGGCCGAGCTTGGAGGTGAATTATCAACATGAGCGTCGGTGACTGATGCCATTCGATGATTTGAATCAAAATTACGTAAGCGCAATAACATAAAATTAATTAAATGTCGGCCATGAAGCCGCCCCTTCTCACATCCCATGGTTCTCTTTTTCCCATCTACTAGTCCTTCCTTACACCACCTCCTTGCATTGCGGGTGTCTAGAAGATACAACCAGACATGACCTAAGGTCACCCATTCCCCTTAGTCCCGCCCAGATCCCCAGTCCGACCCCAGTCCGACCTCCTAGTATACAAGAGCCATGAGAGAAGGATATCGAAGAACCCCTACGTTCTTCCTTCGATTCTGTTTTGCATGGCGATTTCGAGGGGCGAGATCGTATTGAAAGCGTCAGTTCTTTTTCCGCGCTCGAGTCTCCATTATTAGGATTCGGTGAGGTTTCAACTTGTGATATCACCGTTAGCAAGCGGGATGACATTGAGATGTTCCACTTGGGAGGCTCCAGTCATTTACCTCATTTTCGGCCCTGATACCACCTCCACTTCGGAGGTGACCTCCATGACGATTGGTATTCATTGGCGACTCCGTACGCTGAAGTACCGTCACTGCGCGTAAATTGCGATACATGGACCTGCAGGGGCGTCATAGGATATATCTGCAAATTGCCTTGTTCCATCTCGGCGATCGTCCATACAGCCGAGAGGTAGTTCTGATTTCTATTCATGGCATTGCGAATAAGCACCATGTAGAAGGAAATCGATATGACTGGCACGACCTAGTTGATTGTAGTTCAGTAGGTTTCGATAACAAGCGCTAAAAGAGGGATTACCAGGTCTACCATAATATACTCTCCATTGTTCGAGCAAACGAAACAGATTAGTGTGATGATAAGCGCTACAGAGTACAACACGGCGGCATCCACGAGCACACGCGCTATCGGCATTATAGTGTTCTTCGCGCTAGCGTGAATTTTAGTAATATTGCGTTCAATCGCCCATATTCGATATGCTATTAATCCTGGAAACATTCAGAACTTCTGCATCGCACGAGCGGAAACGAGCTTACCCGAACTCAACACATTAGCCACAATAGTCGAGATGAAAAAAACCAGGATCCACGTCTCAAGCACTGGGTCGAAGATGCTAGTATTGTATTGCGAACCATTCCAGACCGCATAGAGCCCAGTCACTGCGAGACAACATTAGATCACACAACTTCCTCAAGTTGAGTACCAGTGCGGCCTTACCTGCGATGCTACACCACAACATGGTCGGTACGATGATAACCCAGACGGATTGCCAAACAACATAGCAGCGAAAAACCTTTTACCATGCAAGGCACTTCTATGAGCTCAGAGGACCCTAGAGTGGTAGATAAAAAATATGAACCTACCACCACCCCATCAGCAAGTAACGTTTGCAAGACGTACAATGCATGCTTGATCACAAACATTTCTTCCGTAACGTCTGCGAAGAATGCTACTGGCCCGCCTGGGTACGTGTCGCGATACTTCACCAGTCCATCTTCCACACGAATGATGCTCGCGACAATGTGCTTGGTGAATGTCAGTAGATGCCGTGCCACAGACGTAAGAAGTAAGGACTCACCGCGGTGCTCAGTAACAATAGCAGGATGGCCACTACGACGATTGGGCGTTTGATGTCCTGCACCTGCCGTTTGTAGGTCAAAGACCAGATGGTACCCATAAACATGAGCACTGAAAAGCCTGGAGAAGTGAGTTGACGGACATGGGATGACTAAAGCAAATGATTTGCGATACTCACCGTATAAAATGCCTTCCAGCACTACTGATATTAAAGCGCCAGTATCCAATGGGATACCACTTGAAGCCATGACGAAACCTGGGAGATGTGCAGTGGTATGGCCAGTTTCGTATACGCGTTATATACTCATCATAAGATCACTGATCCATCGGGTGGGGCATGGTGATTCGGATCGTGGCAAAACGTAGCTCACTGCGTCTCGATGGCCTTCATAGACAGGCTGATGTTTAGTAACGAAAGAATAATTTCCTTCTACTTATTTTTGATCTATCCAAGGAGGCTATATATAGATAATGTCGGCTGCAGCCGCAGGGTGCCCCTGGACTAGCCTCCTTCTGCACATGGGCGATGTTTCGGGTCGGTACTCGTCATGATGCGAGGCCGAGGCAGTCTGCACTGTTATGATCAATTAAGCTACACACATGAGTCACGACAGTTGTCGTGATGCACCTCTTTGGAATGGTAACAATAATGAGTAGGATACTAGGCTTCAAATTTCAAATAGAAGGTTAGATACACGGAAGCTGACAGCTATTATCACAGCCAGGCCATTGCATTTGCATATATGGCCACCACAGCCCAAATCGCGCCATCACGACCTGATATCGCAGCCGTCAGTACCCCACGCGCTGCCTCGGGCCTATGTCAAAACTGCGCAACGAAAAGTCACGCTTGCGCGCAGCCGCGACGTTTCAAAGAAGATAGTATTTAATCTGCATCCCCTCGTCTCCACCCCTGAACGGGCTTGAACATGAAAATACTCTAGCTTCGAATGCGCACGTCTTCACAGATACCGTACTCCTCCGGCGTCATATGAGGAAGGATACCCGTCGACTGAGGGGCGTCCACAACTTTGCTTCATCTTCGGCCAATAAAGGTACCAGGAGTTGAGGGCAACTGTATAGTTCCAATTGACCTTCCGGGGAAGTTAGTCATTGACGGTTGCATCACTCAGGGTCATGCTCGTAGAGGAACAGGCCGTTATGAGCATGGTAGTGAATCAACGATTGCGGTTTGGGGCCTTACCACGGAGTGTGAAAAGAGGACCTGTTCATTGGGTGCTGCCGTTACGAGGACAACGTCTTCATCGCACTGAGAGTCCAAGATGGCTGGAAACTTGCTAAGTCATCAGCTATGTACGCGATTTGAGTGAGTATAAGTACGCATGAATTCTCCCAACTCACGTGGAGCGCGAATGTACAAAGGGAGGCGTATTAAAATTGTCTAGGCATCATCGTGCTCGAGTTGGAACCGGTGCGAGAAGTTGACCGATCCTGCAAGACCCAGGCCTGGAGATGAAGAAAAGGATCAATAATGGGCATAGAGACGTGGACAGCACTTAGCTAAAAGGCGGTCATATCATACGACAAACACTAATACATGGCCACTGATGAGTAAGTCGCGTCTTCTACATCTGTGGAGAACATATACATTGCTGAAGATGCAACTTACAAGCGTCGCACGGCGTCCTCGAGGATGTCAAGCAAGAATTGCAACTCCGCAATGGACAGTTTGCCTGCTCGCTGTCTTGCGCTCGGACCACACCCCCAAGGCTCGGGGATGCTTGTTGAACCTTCCAACCCACCTCTCACGCCCTCTTGCTCAGATTGATACATACATTTTCAACTCTTCGCGATGAGAAAGTAAACATTGATCCAATTCCCGTACATGATGATGGTTGATTAACAACCTGATAAGTAATGGATTTGACATTACTAGTAAGCCCACGGCTGTATGAACCGGGTGTCAGGAGAGCTAGAGCAGATGGCTTGCTCCTGGGGTGAAAATACTATAGCCGACGTCCGCGATGAACAAAGAGACTGCTGGATTCCGTCCGGGAGTAGCTGGGACCGAGTACTTTCTGGCTGGCGTGAGAACCAATCATTGACCGAACCACAGAGCTGGACAAAAAGTCTGGTTTGGACCGTGGTTCTGGACCGAACTGCGGCAGCACGGCCCCTCACTGTCGAGGCATGTCCACTCTCATCCGTACCAACGTGCGTCGCTGTAGGAATGGACAGGTCTGAGAAAGGAACCATCGGCATGAGAGTCGTTAGGCTTCTCCACCGCCATACACGTGCCAGGTCCGTGCACCGATAGGCGCACTCTTCTCTGCAAGTCTCTTCTAAATCTTTTTCGGAACTTAAGCTTCAAGCTCCAAAGCCTCACTTTCGTGGTTCACTAACTTCTCTCTTTGAATCTTATATTCACTAACATCATTCACAATAATTTCACCTTCAACAGGTCTTTAAATTATATTCTGAACAACGTCATTCAAACTCGAAATCCCCCTCGATTACAACCAGCATTTCGACTCCCTTTCGTCAGAATAAAGTACGGCATCTCTACGAAGCTGACGGTACTCCAGAGAAGAGCGGTTCAAACAAAAACTTTGAATGACAGGATCGAAGTCCATTCGGGAGTTCAAATCACACTCGTCTAACCGGCCGATCGCGACCACAGTTTAGATCTAATATTAATGAGTATATGAAGGTAGGTTTCTGACATTAATTGAATACGCGAAACAGATACTGTGCAGAGTCGCGCATTCTGCCAACAACACTAATTAGTCTTAATCTTAGTCTGTTGATCACACGAGTCGCAGGACTGCCGGAGACTCAGAAGGTCACTTATTGGCGGCGACCACACCGTGACAACCTGAGAAGAAGATCATACGAAGTCGCAGGACTGCCAGAAATCACTTCTTGGCGGCCACACCGTGACAATCTGAGAAAGTTCATGTTGATCACACGAGTCTGACTCGGAGTCGTAGGACTGCCAGAGATTCAGAAAGTCACTCGTTGGCCACCGTGACAACCTGAGAAGAAGTTTATCCTTCGTGACAAGTTGACTTACAGCCGAAGGTGAAAACTTGAATGAGTGTCTGATACAATAACGTTATGTACCATGTGACGGTCGCGCGCGGCCATCATCAGTAATAATATTGACATTATTGTCGATGTCAAGTTTTGGCGTCCTCGCGGCCTCGGCCAACCTCTGGTGCACATTTTGCACATCAAGTGACATGTAATGGTGGGTAGTACGTCCGCGTCACTCCACAACTGATTATAACTAGGTTTCAGATACAACTTGTTGGAACACTTGATGGACATACTACTGCCGTGCAGATATTTCGACCTTGGCAAGACCGCAAATTTAGAATCTCAACAAAAACGCGAATAGCTGGCATGTCAAGAGGATGAGGTTGCTTCTTAAAGGTCTACTTCTACGTCCCACGACTGGTTTCAATACGCTAATTATAATAGTTCTTGATAATAGGTGGTCTGAATTGGTCAGCAGTACTCCAACCATGACAGCTTTGCCATCATGCCCTGGCGAAGTATTTGCTGACTCCTGAGCACTTTTACTCCGCGGTGTGTACTATGCACCACGCCACCTATCAGGATTCAGCTAGGCATCATATGTCAGTTTTCGCCGACCCTTCGATTACGAGTAATCTCTGAGGTCATTTACCCTTCGGCCTGCGGTCTATCAGGACTATGCTAAGCACTATGCGTCAGTTTTGGCTAACCCTTCAATTACCTTTTGGGTGACTTTTCGTCGCCAATTGACCAGTCATGCAGTGTCAGGCACAACTGTGTCGTCCTTAAGAGTGCCATCTTGAGGATTGTGGACCTGCACCCCCTGGATCAAGACATTCCACACTTCCCCCCATTGCTAAGTTAAATTTCGCAATGTCTGTTCCGTTCGTATGCCACTCTGAAGTCGACGTTCTCATTATTGGCGCTGGCCCTGCTGGGCTCATGTGCGCGAATGCCCTGGCAAGTGCGAAAGTGAACGTTCGGATCGTCGATAAAAGGTCATTGAGCCGATCCCTTCCATTCCTGTCTTTAACTCGACTTTCCGTTAGGGATTTCAAGCTAACTACTGGTGAGGGCGATGGACTTTCACCTCGCAGTATTGAAGTTTTGCAGGTGAAAATGCTTCCTTGCTGATTGACTAAGACTCGGTATTAACAAGCTGGATATAGAGTTATGGACTTGCGGAACGCGTTCTAAGGGAATCTTGCCAAGTCCACCTAGCGGTACGCCTTTCAAGACGGGCTTGCAGGATATATGACTGATTGCATATTAGGCCTTCTACAACCCTTCTTCAACCGGCGGTATTGAGGTTCGTAAATTCCGCCTTTGACGAAGGATATTCACTGAATTTCCTCCATTAGCTTACCAATAGAACATCAAACGTGACAGCTCCGTCTGCAAGATACCCATTCGAGGTGTGTTGATAAATTGGACAGAAAGTATATCAGCTGAACGAGATCAAGGTTGCGCTCCATCAAGGAGCCATTCAAGACATTTTCATAGATTCCATGACACCGCTTGGCGTTGAGGCTCAACGATCGACGATACCAACTTCGATAGAGCTCTCCAAGGATGAAAATGAATTGGTAGATCCTACATCATATCCAGTTCGCGTTGTGCTCCAAAGACTGGACAAATCCGAGGGTGAACCACGAGAGGAAATTGTGCATGCTAAATTTGTTGTCGGTTGTGATGGTGCGTTCCAAAGATGTCAATCCAGGCCTATCCAGGCAATGTAATCATTTTCCTTGATAGGTGCTCACTCATGGGTCCGTAAACAAGTCGATATTACGATGGATGGGGAACAGTCTGGTGAGAATGTTGATCACTTAGAATTCTCAGCAAGCTCAGTCTTGATCGATAGATTCCATCTGGGGTGTCGTGGACATGGTCACACCTGACACCGACTTCCCAGATGTCAGGAATAAGGCCCTTGTGCATTCTAACCATGGCTCAGTTCTTCTCGTTTCTCGAGAACAGGATCGCATTCGCGTATATGTACAACTGGAGGACAAAGATATCATCAATCCGGTAACAGGCAGGGTGGACAAGGAGAAAATGGGTCCAGAGCAGATTCTTGAAGTAGGTGGTATCCACTATATGATCAGCAGTCATCAATATTCCCCTTAGACTGCCCAGAAATCGCTGGTACCTTACAAGCTTATCCGGAAGAGTGACTTTTTGTGGTGGACAATATATAGCGGTATGCATCTTACTACTTGCTATGAGTTCGTGTTTGTTTAACATTTTCACTCAAGTCGGACAACGAGTAGCCTCAAAGTTTTCCATCAACAATCGCGTATTTATCACTGGCGATGCTTGCCACACGCACTCTCCGAAAGCAGGTAAGCGTCTTAAATCCGGCTCCTTCTCCTGGTCTGGTTACAATGGAACTTCCAGGACAAGGCATGAACGCAAGTATCAACGATAGTCATAATCTAGGTGTGTCCTCTTTTCCTATCGTCAAGATCGAGCTAAACCGGTTGCTCAGCTTGGAAAATTGCCCTAGTTGTTCGTGGGTGGGCAGACATGCCCCTTTTGTCAACGGCAAGCTCTTCAAGTTGTGCAACTGTTTGACTACTTGCTCACGCCCCGCCAATAGTATGAATCAGAGCGCCGTCAATTCGCATTAGACCTGATTGCGTTTGATAAAATGTGGTCCACCCTTTTCTGTGGCAAGCCCTTGACTGAGCAGAACAACGATGGGGTTTCGCCCGATCATTTCTTGAAGTGAGATTATGCTACCAATCGTCATGCCCTTCTACTAATCTCACGAGATTGCAGGACTTTCCAAACAGACTTCACCAGTGGCATCGGGATACATTATCAACCTTCAGTTGCAGTAAACGACAGAAACCAGGAGCTGGCTAGTGGTCTCGTCCTCGGTAAACGTGTCCCTCCATACAAATTCATGCGTGCAGCAGATGCATGGCCATTCGAGCTCCAGGACCTCCTTCCTTCGGACTTCCTCTTCAAGTTACTCGTTTTTACTGGTGATTTCAGCGATCCGCTTCAGCAAGCGAGGGTGGAGTCGATGGTCGAGGACATGCAAAAAGAAAAGAGCTTCCTGAACCGTTACGCGACGCATGGGACCTCACGATTTGACATCATCACGATCAGCAAAGGCCGGAAACAAACATTCAATATATTTCTGCTCCCTGCACTTCTTCGCTCTCATTGGTCAAAGTGAGTGCTCGCTCATCTGTGTGAAGGGCGATAATATTGATGGAGATGTTCTTAGGGTGTTTATCGACGACACGGATCCCACTGGTAGGTTCGGGGGAGAAGGCTACTCGTATTATGGAGTGGGAGCTGAGGGCGCTGTTGTCGCTGTTCGTCCTGATGGCTATGTTGGGGCCATCGCGCCACTGGATCACATTGGGGACCTTGATGCGTATTTCGCGTCTTTCATGAAGATTCCCGCTTAGGCTTAACGATCAATCTTTTCCAAATGTCGCTTCGCTGCTTCAAAGTACCATTGGTTCCTAGGATCTTTCCAGCTACTTCTATATCCTCACGCTAGACCTGTTTACTTACAACGCACTATTTTCCGGAGATAAGTCGCCGATGCAGAGTTGATGCAATTCACACTTTTGAAGGGGAGGATCATGTCTTAAAAAGAGCCGAGCTTGCCTGAACAATCGAGGAGGAGTAAGAACTACCAACGCCGACTGCTGATTTAATAATAAAATCCGAGAAGTGGAACGAGGGACAATTGTCATTATCTCACATATACACCTCCGCTAGCATTCCTATGAAAGTGGCGAGAGTAAATTTGTATGTAATAAACGGTGGTGATGTATTGAGACTCGAGATACTGACGGGTATGCCATGGACTTTCGGAAAACAACGAAGGAAATGAGACCAAGTCACAGATGATAAAGGGGTAGGATGGCATCAAGGCTAGCTCGCCATATCAGAGTCAGTCGCTTGCAGATCGAGTGCGCCAAGGCCTGTGTTCAGAGGGAGAAGCGCTGCATGAATCATAAAGTTAAGCGCCTAGAGTTTTGTCCCCCACACTAGAGTCATGGTTCGGTTTACCAGGTACCTCAACTCCGACCATGGCTATGGGCAATATTATGTAGCAGTAACGACGACGAGGTCCAGTCTCAATGCATCACTACGTAGTCTGACCACTTTTACACCTAAGCGGGAATCTTCATGAAAGATGCGAAATATGCATCAAGGTCCTCAACATGATCCAGTGGCGCGATGGCTCCAACATAGCCATCAGGACGAACAGCGACAACAGCACCCTCAGCTCCCACTCCATAATACGAGTAGCCTTCTCCCCCGAACCTACCAGTGGGATCCGTATCATCGATAAACACCCTAAGAACATCTCCATCAATATTATCGCCCTTCACGCAGATGAGCGAGCACTCACTTTGACCAATGAGAGCGAAGAAGTGCAGGGAGCAGAAATATATTAAATGTTTGCTTCCGGCCTTTGCTAATTGTGATGATGTCAAACCGTGAGGTCCCATGCATCGCGTAACGGTTCAGAAAGCTCTTTTCTTTTTGCATGTCCTTGACCATCGACTCAACCCTCGCTTGCTGAAGCGGATCGCTGAAATCACCAGTAAAAACGAGTAACTTGAAGAGGAAGTCCGAAGGAAGGAGGTCCTGGAGCTCGAATGGCCATGCATCTGCTGCACGCATGAATTTGTATGGAGGGACGCGTTTACCGAGGACGAGACCACTAGCCAGCTCCTGGTTTCTGTCGTTTACTACAACTGAAGGTTGATAATGTACCCCGATGCCGCTGGTGAAGTCTGTTTGGAAAGTCCTGAGACCTCGCAGGATCAGTAAAAGGACATGACTGTTGGTGGCATAATCTCACTTCAAGAAATGATCGGGCGAAACCCCATCGCCGTTCTGCTCAGTCAAGGGCTTGTCACAGCAAAGGGTGGACCACATTTTATCAAACGCAATCAGGTCTAATGCGTATTGACGGCGCTCTGATTCATACTATCAGCGGGGCGTGAGTAAGTAGTCTAACAGTTGCACAACTCGAAAAGCTTGCCGTTGACAAAAGGGGCATGTCTGCCCACCCACGAATAACTAGGGCAATTTTCCAAGCTGAGAAACTGGTTTAGCTCGATCTTAACGACAAGAAAAGAGGACATACCTAAATTATGACTATCGTTGATACTTGCGTTCATGCCTTGTCCTGGAAGTTCCATTGTAACCAGACCAGGAGAAGGAGCCGGATTTAAGACGCTTACCTGCTTTCGGAGAGTGCGTGTGGCAAGCATCGCCAGCGATAAATACGCGATTGTTGATGGAATACTTTGAGGCTACTCGTTGTCCGACTTGAGTCAAAATGTCAACAAACACGAATTCATAGCAAGTAGTAAGATGCATACCGCTATATATCGTCCACCATATAAATTCACTCTTCCGGGTGAGCTTGTAAGGTACAATCGATTTTTGGGCAGTCTGAAGGGAATATTGATGATTGTTGATCATATAGTGGATATCGCTTACTTCAAGAATCTGCTCTGGACCCATTTTCTCCTTGTCCACCCTGCCTGTCATCGGATTGATGACATCTTTGTCCTTTAGTTGTATATAAATGCGAATGCGATCCTGTTCTCGAGGAACAAAAATAACTGAACCATGGTTAGAATGTATAAGGGCCTTATTCCTAACATCCGGGAAGTCGGTGTCAGGTGTGACCATATCCACGACACCCCAGATGGAATCTATCGATCAAGACTGAGCTTGCTGAGAATTCTAAGTGATCAACATTCTCACCAGACTGTTCCCCATCCATCGTAATATCGACTTGTTTACGGACCCATGAGTGAGCGCCTATCAAGGAAAATGATTATGTTGCCTGGATAGGCCTGGATTGACATCTTTGGAACGCACCATCACAACCGACAACAAATTTAGCATGCACAATTTCTTCTTGTGGTTCGTCCTCGGATTTGTCCAGTCTTTGGAGCACAACGCGAACTGGATATGATGTAGGATCTACCAATTCATTCTCATCCTTGGAGAGCTCTATTGAAGTTGGTATCGTCGATCGTTGAACCTCAACGCCGAGCGGTGTCATGGAATCTATGAAAATGTCTTGAATGGCTCCTTGATGGAGCGCAGCCTTGATCTCATTCAGCTAATGTAATTTCTGTCCAATTTATCAACACACCTCGAATGGGTATCTTGCAGACGGAGCTGTCACGCTTGCTATCCTGTCAGTAAGCTAATGACGGAAATTCGGTGAATGTCCTTTGTTGATAGCAGAATTTACGAACCTCGATACCGCCGGTCGCAGAAGGGTTGTAGAAGGACTAAGATGCAATAAGTCATATATCCTGGAAGCCCATTTTGAAAGGCATACCGCTAGATGGAGTTGGCAAGACTCCCTTAGAAGGCGCTCGGCAAGTCCATAACTCTATGTCCAACTTGTTAATACCGAATGTTCGTCAATCAGTAAGGGAGCATTTTCACCTGTAAAACTTCAGTAGTGCGAGGTGTAATTCCATCACCCTCGCCAGTAGTTAGTTTGACAGCCCTAACAGAAGGTTAAGTTAAAAGCAGGAAAGGAAGGGATCGACACACTGACTTTTGATCGACGATCCGAACATTTACTCTCGCATTTGCCAGGGCATTCGCGCACATGAGCCCAGCAGGGCCAGCACCAATGATGAGAACATCGACTTCAGAGTGGCATACGAACGGAAGAGGCATTGCGAAATAACTAGTATAACTTAGCAATGATGAGAAATGTAGAGGAGTGTCTTGATATAGGGGGTACAGGACCACAATTCTCAAGGCAGCGTTCTTAAAGACGGCACAGTTGTGCCTGACACCCTGTGGCTGGACAGTCGGCACGAAAAATTTGCCCAAAAGGTAATTGAGGGGTCAGCCAAAACTGACGCGTGATGCCTAGCTGAATACCAATAAATCGCAGTTTGAAGGGTGGACAACATCGGAGATTACTAAAGGTATTGACGAAAATTGATGAATGGTGCATACACACCGCGGAGTAAAGGTGCTCATTGAATGTTTCGCCAAAGCATGATAGCAAAGCTGTCACAGTTGTAGGGCTTTATCGGTCGGTTCAGATCACCTATTGTCAAGATCTATTATAATTAGCGTATTGAAACCAGTCATGGGAAGTAGAAGTAGACCTTTAAGAAGCAACCCCATCCCTGTGGCACGTTTTTGTTGCGATCCGAATTTGCAGTCTTGCTGAGGTCGAAAGATCTGCACGGCAGTATATCAGATCTTCATCAGGTGTTCCAACAAGTTCAAGTTTTATTTGAAACCTATTTATTATTTGTCGAGGGAGTGGCATGGAGTGACGTACCTATTACTACCACTAGTAACTGTCACTTGATGTGCAAAACGCGCACCAGAGGTTGGCCGAGGCAGCAGCCGTGAGGTCACCATAAAATTTTTGATGAATTTTGTAGGAAGCCCTCCGCAAAACGTTGGCAGCTCCGTAGTACAGCGTGCATTATGGGCGACCCGGGATCACTGGCAGCAGGCTCGAACTTGATATCGACAACAATGTTAATAATATTGGTGATGGCCGCGGCCGTCACATGGTGCCATATTGAAGTTTTCACCTTCGGCTGCGAGTCGACTTGCTGCGAAAGTCAAACTTCTTCTCAGGTTGTCACGGTGTGGTCGCCGCCAACAAGTGACCTTCTAAATCTCTAGTGCTGCTCAATTCTAAAATAGGAGGGAGGGGTTGTATCATATCAAGCATAGAAGCTTGGAGCACAAGCTACTACTAGGAAAAATCAACACCTCAAAATAGACTTTGTCGGCTATTCGCACCATACTACTTCCTTTATCTCGCGTACTACGTACTTCACAGGACAGCTCATAGAGCACCGCGTCTTAACGGTTTCCTTCGTTTGTTGCGGTGTAGAAACATAGAAATTCTCCCTCTCAATTCTAAAATATCGAGGCTTGTTTAGGTGTTTACAACATGTTTTGTTGAACACCATTCCTTCTAGATATCATTTTAGTTGAACTGGGTGTTCTGAACATGCGGACTTGCAAAACACTGACATTTGACGGCAGCACGTCAGCACGAGGACTTGGGAACACAGATTTAGATTTAGGACGTTCTAAACGCGGCGGGAAGCCATCTAATGTCAACTGAGCACCGTATGTGAATTTGATTGCCGTCGCCTATACCCAAGGTACGCGCAGATTGCGCAGCTGACGCTGAGTCACTGGTCGTATTGTGTTGGCCTCAGGTTGAACCGATTCATTCGACGACGTCAACAACTAGTAGCTATGTCCCACAGTCGATATAACCTTGACGGGCCTCCTCCCACTGGCACCACCAGCAAGGGGGATGAGACTGGGATGCTCGCTTAAGATCCAGGCTCTAGTGATTTACCTTACATTTGGCCTTGATGTTGGTCTCTATTTTGCCAACGCCCACGGAGGTGACCTCCTCCCTGACGGCTGGTGTTTGAATGTTCTTATGCACTTACTTAGTATTAAATGCTAATTTCTATAGTGGTAATACAACTTCACACCCGCTGGCAGTATTGTTGAACACTGAGTCATCTAGCCAAGACATCTAAACACAACGTTTAAACATCATTTTTGTATTCCTTCCCACATTTTACGTGTCTTTGTTGCTAATGAGAAACCCTCTTGGTTTTGTGAGTGAATCAGCAATTCCAAGGAATGTTTCAGCGAGTTGAACCTAATTGCACAAAAACATGTCAAGCAAGCTTTACACTCGACATGGGATGAAATTGCTCACCGTATCTAAAGCTTCTGAGTATGTGGACGCAACAGTAGATGCCGCGGAAGCTAAGGGGTTTCGCGGGGCGTTGTTCTGGGTTTCTAGAGCGATCTGAAACATTCTTCTCAAAGACGAAGAATATTTATCTCGGCCAAAAGATACGGAATGGAGGGATAATGCCTTTCTATATTTGAACTCTGGAATCAGTGAATCAAGAACGCAATATGTACAACCACAAACCCAAGACGGACTGCAGCGCGGCACAAATCTTGAACAGTTTGGTTCTCAATAGGGCTCTCGCCGTCGGACAGGAATATAATTACAGGCGTTCTACGCCCATGTAAACATTTCGCAAATTGATCAATAATGGAGACTCACCTCTCTGTGCTCCAGTGTTGCTCCATAACTGATTGGGCACGTTGAATGGCAGCAGTGAAGTTTGTGCCTGCCGAAGTTCGATAACGTAACACAGCGTCTAGTAGGTTGTCAGGCGAGCTGGAGAAATCGTTCACCACGGCGTCCACAACAGACTGATCAAACAGGATAACACTGTAGGAGTCTCGTCTGACTGCTTGGGAACCAGCGACTACTGCAGCTCGGGCAGACCAAAAGCTATACAAGGACGACAGAACAGCGCCAAACCTATTGTTAGAGCTTTGAATAATTTTGTCCGAGGCGGGGGTATTCCTGAGAGGTTGTCGGTCCGTCAAACGCATGGAGCCAGATCTATCACTATAGTCAGTATGTGCTGTCACATTCAACATGCGGCATGTAATACCTATCTGCCACAAAGATTCTGGCGTGCATCAATTAACGGCCTTGCTATGGACAGAAGAAAAACGACCTACACGTGAAACGCTTGCTGCATCACAACAGGATTCCTACAAGAGAAATGATGCCCATCATTGGAGACGTATCCGAGTCTCGCTAGGGGGGTGTTTGGATCCATTGCAACGTGGAAGAGAGGCAAAGTACAAAAAGAGGGCTGAGCGGCATTTCCCTCTGTAGCTGTGTGTTCAGGACCTGTGTGAGGATGAGTAACCAACAAAGATTAGTAGCTAAGATAACTTTACCGCTGCACATGGCGTCACTGAATAGGGAATGTGGTCAGTGCTACGGACAAGGCACTGTAAAACCCACCACTTTGCAAAGTTCGCTTGTTCCTCCCGGGAGTACGGATCTTTGAAGCCTGTGGACCTGAATTAGATCAGCCAACATAAAACCAACATGCCAACTTACCACTCCGTCGCCAGAAGAGATTGTGCGTCAAAAAGTCTTTGGGACGATCCGGGGTTGGTAACACTCTCTTGGAGATATGCAGAGCTTCAGGGTTCAATATGCATGGGGTAGCATCCTGCGATCGACAGTAGTCAATGTGTACGTGTCTGCCCAATGTCTGGCAGATAATGTTGCACATCATCGGTGCACCTTCATCGTTGGAGGAGAAGCGACGGCCTTCAACCTCGAGACCCGTACCATCTGGGCCATCGATTGCCCATCGTGACGAAGACATGGATCCGTGTCTAGTTTCATGCTCTTGTTGCGGGTGACCTGGTGTAATGGTTTGTGAAACATTACTACTGAGATGCATTAATAGTACCTACCGAGCGGCAATGTACAATAGTAGCCACAATGCTCACACCTGAAAAGACGAGAAAAATGAGGAACGACCACAAACGAAAGAAAATTTCCAACTTCGCTCTGCAGAAATGCACCACTCTTTGGTCCAAACTATGGTTGTGCTGACCTTCATGGGCGACCAGGCCTGGTGGTATTGACTTGGCACATCTCAGTCGTTTGGCCACTGTTGAGGGCGAGTCAGTGTCAGTGTCAGAGGTAACCAATCCAACACACACCTTGCGAATACTGCAAACCAAGATCGCATGTCAACTCAGAAAATGATGTCCACGACAAAAAACAGCACGCCACCTTCGTATACTGGAATGTTTCGTGCTTTCCAGTGAACGTTGCCTCGATCGATTGTGGCGCAGTCTCGATTTCGCAGATGCCATCAGCAATGCACTGCATGGGACACGGGTGTTCCTCCCTATATTGTCATGTAATTACAAAAACGTGGTTTAGATGATCATCGACAAACCCGCAGAGATGAATGGCGCTGTCTTGCAAGCCGTGAAGATGGTCCGCACTCGCACAGAGCCTCTTGCAAAGTTGGCAGGGGAAAGAGCAAAGTCGAGCACCACACTGGTGTTGGTCATGGTCCACGTCACTGAGGTACATAACATGTTAAATGTGAAGCTGAGCGTTTATCGATTATGTGACCTACATTGGAGTGCCACATATACCGCGGCAAGGTGGAGTTGATCTGTCAGCCAACCTAAATTTTGACAGCTCACAGGGCTAGACGTATTCTAGCACATGAAAAAGGCCTGCTCAAGGATCAAACATACCTGACCGCAGGCATGGACAGTAGCAGCACATAGATGATCATCTTCTGCGTGCCCGATCACCTAAATAACAGGTTCAGTGGCTTTCTAACCATGGTGAAGATGATCTATCTCACCTTCGTACACTCATCTAGACATCCCTGTCTCCCGAAGAGTTTGCAAACTTGACCACAGAGATGCGCATTCACAATACACCTGAAAAGGGCGACCCGATGTAAGGACGTGTGTGAATTTAATCATAAAAAAACTTTCATATGATTGCCTGGATGTCCCGCTCTGAAAGGTTATCAATCATTTATCAATAAAGTACAGATATCAACTTACGACATCGTGCAAGCCTTGGTCTCTCCAAACAACGCACAGAAATCGCACGAATGTATGCAAGCATGAGAAGTCTGGCAATTGTGCTGTCCATCGTGCAATCTGCTCTGAACGCAGAGTAGCTCGCAGCTTGCACATTTCAGCTTGCACAACTGCAAGTTGCTCTTCAAGTCTATTGTTGCACTGCCGAACGTTCTGATAAGCTCGCCAATGCTTGCTTGCCCACTTGGAAAGCGAGCGACATTCATTGATATCCACTCGCGAACGTGAGCAACGCGCAAATTGATCAGGTTGTCGATGTGAGCGGTCAAATTCTCAATCCAAAGAACGTCTGCCATGTGTTGGCGAGAATCATAGTCTTGCCATGCATGAGACAGGACGTGCAGAGCGGCCTCGCGAGAAGAAGACTGCTTCCCCTCCGCTAATGAGAATTCTGAAGCAGTATCAGGCATATCAATTGGGACACCGTCATCCAGGTTCTTTATAAATGCCAGGTTAATCACGATTCGAACAAAAGACAGTAGAAGTGTTTCATACCTTCAAAGGTTCCGGACAAGGATCAACCTCTTGCAGTCCAAATGCCAGAGCGTTGTGCAACATAACTGAAAGAAGTTGTGCTCGATGCGAGGCCATTGATTCTGCGATGCATCATTCGTCAGCTGAACTGTTTGATTATTTCTGAATCTAAGAGTACGCACGCGAGAGAGCGCCCCAATCATTTGCCTGCAAATGTTTAAGTCAATACCCTCACAAAATGTACAGTGACTGAAGCGTACCTTCAGTTTTGCCATCAAAGTCTTCATTACATGAAGGAACTCTCCCGCCGTATTATGAGTGAGTTTCTGTTTGTCCAATTGACGCTTAAGGGCTGGGAACAGCTTGTAAAATTCCTGCGACTCAATCACCGGCCTACAAAACGATAAGGTTGTGTGTAAATATACACACAGAAACACTGCACATACCATGGAATTATATTCAACTGTCCAGCGTGGAGGCGAGAAATGAAATTGGCCTCTTGTTCATCCTGGACAATCTTCTGAAACTTGAGAGCGAATCTGAGTGCTAACTTGAGTATGCGCTCGTCAGGACATGATCATAAACATACTCTTTGGTTATATCTGCTTTATCTGAATCCACGACGTCCTAAAGTTGTCAAGTTCAGCCATATGAAGGCGACCGTCAGAAGGGGAATATCACCTTGATGATGATCACCAATGTTGATTGAAACAGATTCGGGTTGGCTGCTGGGTCTAGGACAGTCGCACTCGATTGGAATGAATGGAATAGTCCTGTAATATTGCGGCTCAAGGCGAAGTTATTCCGGAATAGCACCTATGAAACAAGGTCAAGCTCCCATTTGCAGCACGAAAGTGGTGTCAAACCAAGTTAGAGATTGCAGTATTGAAAAGGACGAGCAAAGTATCTTCTTGAGTTGAACGCTCAATACTATGGACACCTTTTGGGTGAGGATGTCAGCACTGATGCGCAAGAATACCTGATTCGACATGCCTTCAAAGTCCAAAGCGACTACAAGAGCATCTTTCGTTGGAGTCACCGACATCCACACTCCTTCTGTTGTGCGCATCGCTGATCCAGCAAAAGATGTGTCTACGAGATGGTTCAAGGAAAAGCTTTTCCCCACTGATTGTTCGCCCATAGATGACACGACTTTGACAGGCTTGAAGTTGGGTCGGAAGTTAATAGGTTTGACAAATTGTAGGGCATTTATACAATCCACACCTTTTTGGCCATGTATGACTGGAACAAAGATTCATACCAACCAAAGGACAAGTGATCGACAATGTGGTTGACATCCGCGCCGAGAAGGGACTTCTCCAGCTGAGTGGAATACACCCCGTCCTTGAGCGGAATGAAACGATTTTCCATTGTCACGGCAATCTGGATAGGAATGAGGCAGAGGAACTCTGCCAGCCACTCCCCAGCGCGGAATTTCGACACGCTCCACTCGGCACCACCAAGGTGACTATTGTGAAAAGCAGAGTATGTCGTTGAAGAGACATCAATTCTCTTGAGAAGATTTCCAGTTGGCTTCTTTGACGTCCTTTCAAAGGTTGAAATAAGATCGCGGAAGTGCGGTACGAATCTATGATGGTCTTGTTCTGTGATGAACACCAACGTTCGCTGACTCCTCTTACTGGACGACGTGATTGTTTCGCGCTGGATGGCAGTAAGAACCGGAAAGCGCGTCCATACTTCAGCGTGACAATCGATGAGGGAGCTGTAGGCAGCGACATTCGCTGATTTTGCATTCCCTCCTCGAGTGCCCCTTTCTTTGAAGGTGAACTCTGTCGCTTTCCGGGTGATGTCAAGGGCAATAGATCGACACGATCGAGTGTCGATGTCAAGTGTGACCAAATGCACGATATTCCGGTTAGTCAGCGATGTCAAAAGTAGTGGCTGGTCCAATGGAAGATCAGGTATCTCGAGCGGAATGCCATCCGTTGAGCCGAACGTACTCCAGTGGTAGGCGGTTAGTTTCAAGTTAGACCCATGCACGTGAGCGGTGATTAAGCAAGAACCATCTGGAGTCGAGTAAACTGCCGTTGGAATCTGGATGAGATTGAGCGTCGCAGGCCTGTGATATATGAGTTAGACGTCTGCTACTCTTGTGGGTGCAAAGTCTGACCTGAATTGCATGGTCGTCAAGGAGTAAACTCTGGCCTGTGCCAATGTATCAACGAGCAGCAACTCTTCCCCGCCGCATATGAAACATGCATGAGCGATAGAAGTCCCTTCAGGATACCATTGCGTCAAGTTGATTGCACTGCCATTAGCTTGGAAACCGACACGGTTATCATCATAGACGAAGATGTGTAATAAGAGCTGATGGCACGTTCGTTAGGCGCATCCCAGCAGATTCCTAGTGGAACGAACTTTCTCTGTGGCAACAACGCTGAGCACACACTTCGACTCATCGAAAGCCAGAACAAATTCGCCAATCTTATCGCTATTCAGCTTTTTCCCGCGGCCGCCGTGAACCAAGGCGCCCTCGATAGCAGTGAGGTGTTCCAGGTACACCGTCAAGCTTCCAAACCGATCAGTCGTCACGAGCAAGATCTTCTCGCCTGGAAGCAATTGCGCTCTCCTGGGATCAATGACGGAGTTCTGCGTCAGTTATATGTAGAAGTTAAATTGCCAAGAGCACATACACCACTGAATAACCAAGAGGTAACTTGAACGAGTACAAGTTTCTGAACTTTGGTGAAGGAATCGTGCTAGAATCTAACTGTAAGGAATGTAAATCCTGCGTTGTCAGTTGCATGGGGTGGACTGTAAATTTCAGCTTTGGCCGCTCGAAATATTCCCTTGAACCAGTTATTTGCACTGAAGACGCTGCTAGAGACAATAAGCCTCGTACATCCTCGATGACATCGATAAGTGAGGTGTGCCTGCCAATTTATGAATGTGGTGGAGCAGAAATGCGGCAAAATCGCTTACGAATGAAAACCCATCTGCGAATGGGCATTGAAGGAAGCAATGAACTTCTTTCGTAATTCAGCCAGTTGTTGTTCTTCACTGCCGACCGCTTCCCTGCGAATACGGGCAACACATTTGCTGATTTGTACATCCAGCGCCAAACGAGTCAAATTTGTTGCTTGCATCGTCAGAAGTGATCTGAAGTGCGCCAAGGCAGCAGCCCTAGTATCCGCGACGACTTTTTTCATGACAGGTAGCTTTTCAATGTCATTCAACTCAGCAAGGAATTGAGTGTCACTGATCGCAGATGCAGCAGCCTCTGCATTGTTGAATATCTCATCGACGAACTGGGAGTCTTGTCCAGACGAGATGAGGGAATTAATACCACTCCAAGCGGTGTTGATCAATCCCTTTGGCTGCTGATGCGGGGAAGCACTCCGTCCTATCATCCTGACAGATTCCCTGACGTGTCGCATATCCTTGTGAAGAATTACATTCAAAAAATCTTCATCTTTCATCTTGGTATCAGGAGATTGACGAAGCAGGCTTTGAGCGATAAAAATTCGTTCCTTGGAGCTCTCGAAATCGCGATCGTTGATCTTCTCAATGCGCAGCTTTTGCACCGTGTGACGAAGCTCTTCCCCTATTTCTGGATATAGCTCAATGATAGTTGAAAGTCGATCTAGACAATCCGTCACTATGACGCAACTTTACTACATAGACAGATGAATACCTTGATCTGGGAGCTATGCTGCGTGCTCGTCATAGAATGAGGGGGAGAGCCACTAAATGAATGAATCAGAAATATTCGGCTGAGGCTGTCTCAAACGCGACTCACGAAGGAGCAGTAGCAGGTTCGACCGGTTCTGGACAGAGCGTTATTATCAAACGAATTGATTGGACAGAAGATATACCTTGAGTTGCAGGGCAAGCCCTGCATGTTTTTGGTAGGGTAAGGGAAGGAATCATAGGTAAAAGTGCTGAAGGGATCAAGTTAGAGATACGAGAGAGTGATGTGAAGGGATGCTTACGGAAATTTCTGAATAATGGCGTCAACCAATGCCCAATGGAAAATGGGAGTGAGAAGGGGTGAGTCATCCTCCAACTTTCTCTTGGTTCTGACCTCTGTCGATGCGTTGAAGGCCCTGACATTCGATGAAATATCGGCCGACTCCTGCTGCCATTGGTTGCACAGTTGCGGAAAGCGATCCCGAAGACCTGCGTCCAGTAAAAGATGCACTTCGTTGGCATCCAAGTTCTCATTGACCCGCAGACCGTCATTGCACCTGAGGAGGTATCAGTTTGAAATACAGGAACTAGCTACAACGAGTAACACCCACAGCCAATTGCTTAACTGGAGGCGGGTAATGGACTTGCGCGTCCACTCATCAGTGATCCGCCTGGCAGGTAAATAGCTGTTTGTCATGAACCCTTGAATAGTCTCGCCATGCAATAACCGGGGCTTATGCAGTCCAAGATCCACTGTCATCTCCGGGTGAGCCTGAGGCATGGCTATGTAACTGGACGTAGCCTACACGCGACTGTTAGCACTGCGCCAGTCACGATGGGTAGGGAAAACCTTGAATCCAGGACGCGGCTTTATGGCTTCTTCCTGTTCGTTGGTTTTCCTAACTTCAAATGTGAACATTCTGTCATACTCGTCTTGGTTTTCGTCCATTTCCATGGTGTCTTCGTCTTCCTGTCCACTCCATACAACGGAACGGGCATGCTCCGGGGAGATGAGTGCCATAACTTGATCACATATCGTCGTAAGGTACCTAATATCCTGTGTCAAAAAATACTTACCGAAAATCGGAGAGGATTAGACGAACCGCATGAAGGTGACACGGGTGCGTTTCACGGATGAAGGGGCTGAATCATTCCAAGTGTCATCCTCGGGCCAGTAGACAATGAATAGTTGTTCATCGGAGGTAGCTTCAAATTTTGTTCTGACAATGTAAAGTCCAGAGCGAAGACTTGGTTTTGAAATATTAGACTCGCTGTGGTTCGCAACAAGCTGGGCCACCCTACAAGAAAGGTTTGTAAGGATTTCGATTTGCAGCCAGAAAGTAATATCTCACACGTGGTCATCGACAACACCAAGAGACGACAAGAGTCGCACTATTTCCTCTTTGCTCCCATAGATGCCGATGGGCTTCACGAACAAACCGTCCAGCGCGCTAAAGTCAACGTTCGTCATGGAGACATATGCACCAGGACAAATGGTATTGGTGAATGCCCGGAGTGAATCCTGCGCAATGATAATTTTGTCCACTAAGAGCAATCAGCGAAGGAAGGCTCGGAAAGGAAAATGGAGTCACCTAGCCCACCGCTCCCCTGTTCACTGATCAAGTCCAGGACCCGGTACATCGATTTGATTGACTGGACAAGGTCACTGGCATCATTGTGCGGAAGGGAGTCTCCTGCGTCCATCTGACAAAGAACGTGGAAATTTCAGCCTACATTATGAGGACCACGAGAAAAGTTAACTTACAAAATTTTCTCCATCATCGGATTTTGCAGACAGATACACATCGTCATCCGCATCCTCAGACATCAGGGGCTGGTCCGTCTGAATTATTTGATCATCTTTCAATGAACGTGCTCGTGATGCCGAGCGACCATATTTGTCCATCTCATCAAGACGATGCGGATAGGAAAGTGGATCACAGGAAATAGTTGTCGTATTCTGTGCCGAGCAAGTTGTGGCAGGTAAGGTAGAAACGCGGTGATGTTGGCTCATAAATCGGTCCAAGCCGGGCAATTCAATCTCTGAATGCGTCCTTCCAAATGCATTCATGTGATCTGCAGCCTCATAGGCAGCTCGACGTTCCGCGCCCACCGATTGGGGATCAGCACCTTCTTCCACATCAGAGGTGGCATGTTGAACCTGCGCGACTATCGGTTGGGAACTAGCACCTTCTTCAACGCAAAGGGCGGTACTTTGAACCTGCGCGATTACTGGTTGGAGACTGGCACCTTCTTCCACTTTATAGGTCATATTTTGATGTGCCGCCACTACTGGTTGGGGACCAGCAGCTTTGTCAACACCAGAGGGGGTATGTTGAACCTGTGAGACTATCAGTTGGGGACCAGCATCTTCTTCCACACCAGAATGCGCATCCTGAATCTATGCGACCACCATAACTCAGAGACAGTGCAGAGATTGAAGCGCGAGTTTCAGCACCTACCTCGATATGAGGAGATAATGATACACCTTCAGGTTTGACGTCTTGAGCAGCCGCAGAGTCGTTGCGGGAAAGTTTGAAGATCTTTTGTACAATTTCAGCGCCTGATTGATTCCACTACAACTTAACTCATCGACTTACAGAAAGTTTTCTAGTTACACCTTTCTTGACCTTCTGTAGCAATTGGCGAGTGTTGCTACGGGATGTCACCTGAAAGATTGTGTCTCAGCAGTCAACAAGCGCGCATCAAGCTTCAATTTCGAAGATGAATCCCTTACCGAGGTTAAGTCACCAACTGCGGTTGCATCGCTGACGGCTTCTGGAAGAGGTTGTAGCCTCGAATATCTCCTTCTAGAATTGAATACGTCTTCGTTCATCGCAAACTGCTAGTTGAAGGTTTATAGATTCAGTAGTAAGTATGAGGAGAGGTCTATCTCACAAGCTGTGTCAAACGGCAGCCCTACGCCGTTGATCACGAGCACGAGCACTGCCACGCCGGAATTGAGCTTACCTCTATCTTCAACATGTTAATGGGCGATATCCGCCACTGTGCACGGCGCTCTTCCTGGCAATAACACATCCAATTTGTGTCTTTTGACCTGCAGCACCATGTTTCGTCGAGCACTTGCTCACAAGTGACTTTCTTGACTCAGGCCTGACGGCGCTGAGGGCATGATAGAACTGAGGAAGGGTGGCACACCAGGTCAATCCATTATGAGGCAGAGTTCTCCCGAACCACTGCAGTACTAAGTCTGGTGAGCACTGTGAGCACGGTGCACTTGACCGGCTGCTATTATGACTCATCCGATGGAACGCACAAACAGCAACTTTTTGATCCATGGATCTGCCTCTCACTTCTTACGCCAATTTAAACAACGATGATCGTACCGCAGACTCCGTTACCCACCCAGCCCCATCATCATCGTCCTCTCGCTCCCCGCGACTTCTGTTATTCGAGGAGCATGATGTCTTGGTTAGATTTTTCAATTTTAAATTCCGACATTCGGACCGTCGACGGGTCGGCACTGCTACGTAGTACGGTATGTGCAAGTAGACGATGATGTTTTCAGGATTGGTAGTCTGAGCAAGTATGCGCAGTGACCAATCTCATCCTCATTAATACTCTGACACACAATGGCCCTCAGCTCAGCTTGGTGACATCCATCTTTTTGTAAGATGATCATGGGCAAGCGGTCCTGCAGGCCAGATCGTTCAAAATGCTGCTGTGCGTGTACATACCGTTCTGTGAAAGCACTTGAACAACGACTGTATGTCCCTTAATTTTATCGCAGGTACATTTTCCTGCATTCTCAATCGAGGACAGGTTGAACGAGTGCGCACACGACAGGGTGGTTTGTTTGGTGCTGTGAGTAGCTTCTGACAATTGCGAGGACTAAGTACTGATGGGCGAATCTAGATTCACGAGCAAGCTTCGTTCATGAAGAAGATGGCCGATCTCGCATGCCAGAACCGAGTCCTGCCATTGAGTTCATAGAACGATATGTTATTCAGTAGGTGATGCGATGGGTACACTATGGACTCTGGAATACCCATACCGATACCAATTATTTTCAAGCAATGCGACCCACTACCTCCTACGACCTCAGTCCTTGAGCTTGTGTGTAAGCTGTTTCTACTTGTCCCCGATATCTTGACTAAACTAAAATTTAGGATAGCTATCACGTTCCCTATTTGCACTGTGAATGCCCGCTCCAAGAAGATACAATTGGTACATATGGCCTGGTGTCTTCCCTCTTCCTCCGAAACCACCAATTCCTTCTACTCCCTCCCCAGTCCGACCTAAGTCACTCCCATCAAGTGGACACTGAGAGCCACGGGAGAGGGAACCCCAATACTCTTCCTCCGTTTCTGTCTTGCATGGCGATTTTGAGGGGCGAGATGGTATTGAAAACATGAGTTCTTTTTCCAGCCTTGAGTCTTCATTATCAGGATTTGGAGAAGTTTCAGCTTGTGGTGTCACCGTCGGCAAGGGGGATGGGACTGGGATATTCCACTTAAAAGGCTCTAGTCATTCACCTCGCATGTGGCCCTAGTGTTGGCCTCTACTTTTCCGATGCCCAAGGAGGTGACCTTCTCCCTGAGGGCTGACGTTCATTGCCCATTTCGTATGCCGAAGTACTGTCACTGCGCGTAAATCGTGATATATGGACCTGCAGAGGCTTCATAGGATACTCTTGCAAATCGCCTTGTTCCGTCTCGGCGATCGTCCCTACAGTTGAGAGGCATCTGCGATTTCGATTTCTGTTGATGGCAATGCGAATAAGCACCATGTAGAAGGCAATCGAAATGATCGGCATAACCTAGTTGATGACAATTCAGTATGCTTCAATAACAGGTGTCAAAAGAGGGATTACCATGTCTACCATAACATACTCTCCATTGTTTGAGCAGAGGAAACAGATTAGTGTGATGAAAAGTGCTACGGAGTACAAAACGGCTGCGTCCACGAGCACGCGCACTATTGGCATCATAGTGCCTTTCGTACTAGCGCGAATTGTAGCGACATTGCGTTCAATCGCCCATATTCGATATGCCAGTAATCCTGAATACATTCAGAGTCTCCACATTGTGTTTGCGGAAACAAGCTTACCTGAACTCAACACATTAGTTGCAATTGTCGAGACAAAGAACGCCATGACCCACGTCGCAAGTTCTTGGGTGAAGATGCTAGTAGTAGACCCGGATTGCGAAACACTGTAGACCGCATGGATGCCGGTGACTGCGAGGCATCATCAGATCACACAACTTCTTCGAGCTGGGTATCATTGCGGCTTTACTTGCGACGCTACACCACAGCATGCTTGGTAGGATGATAACCCGGACGGATTGGCAAACAACATGGCAGCGATAAATCTTTTATCAAGCAAGGCACTTCTATGAGCTCAGATGGTCGTAGAGGTGTGAAAATATGAACCTACCACCACCCCATCAGCAAGTAGAGTTTGCAAGACGTATAATGGGTGCTTGATTACATACGTTTCTTGCGAAACGTCTGCGAAGAATGCCACTGGCCCGCCTGGGTACGTGTCACAATACTTCACAAGTCCATCTTCCACACGAATGATGCTCATGACAATGTGCTTGGTGAATGTCAGCAAATGCCGTACCACAGACATAAGAAGTAAGAAGGGCTCACTGCAGTACTCAGTAACAACAGCAGGATGGCCACTACGGCGATTGGGCGATTGATGTTCTGAACGTGCTGTCTGTAGGTCAAAGACCACACGGTGCCCATAAACATGAGCAATGAAAAGCCTGGGGAGGTGAATTGACGGACATGGGACGACTAAACCTGATGATTTACGATACTCACCATATAAAATGCCTTCCAGCACTGCTGTCATTAAAGCGCCGGTATCCACTGGAATACCTCTCGAAGCCATGGCGAAAATTGGGAGGTGTGTGCATCTTCGTCAGTTTCATATGCACGTTATATAGACACGAACTGGGTCATGATACGAAATTACCAATCCGTCAGGTGGGGCTTGGTGCGTCATGGCGGCAAAGTGTAGCTCGCCGTATCTAGGTATGTTAGTAAAGAAAGAGCATTTCCTCCTACTTATTCGGTCTACCCGATAACGTCGGTAGCAGCCGCAGGGCGCACTTCCACTGGACTAGTCTCCTCCTGCACAAAGTTTAGGGCGACATTTCGGGTCGGCGCGCATCATGTTTCAAGAGCAAGTCTGATACGGGGAGGCAGTCTGCACTGTGATGACTAATTAAGATACACGACTGTCGCGATAAACCACAGCAGAAATCTCTGGAATGATAACAATAATGAGTAGAATACCAGGCTTCAAATTTCAAATGCAGGATCAGATACACACTGAACCTTACATGCATCATCACTGACAGGCCATTCTATTTACCTCTATACCCGCCACAGTCCAAAATCAAAACGCGCAAAACGCACAAAGAGCGCCATCACGACCTGGTCCCGCACCTATCGATACCACGCGTTTCTCGGATTTATGTCAAAACCACGCCGCAAGTATAGTAGTCACGCTTACGCACAGTGCCACAGCCGCGACGTTTCAAATATGATAGCACCTGATCTGGATGCCCTCGCCTCTAAGTACCACTGGATCCTTGAGCGGGCTCAAAGATGAAGATACTCTAGCGCCGTCGAATGTGTACGTCTTCACAGATACTGTACTCCTCTTCCGGCGCGCTATATGAGCAAGGATGCCGTGGACGGAGGGACTTCAACGACTTTGATTTCTCCTTGACCAACTTGAATAAAGGTACCAGTGGAATCGAGGGTAACTGGACAATCCAAATCAACCTTCCCAAAAAGTCAGTTATTGATAATCGCATCAGTATCATTCAGTGTGTTGCTCGTCAAGTCGCTGACTCGTCGAGGAAATTCTGCGAGTATGATGCTGAAGGTTTTGGGCCTTACTATGTACAAAATGTGAGGAAGAGGGTAAACGAGGTCATGGTGCACATGGTAGATGGGCTGACTATCTGAGGCGAAAAAGGGGGCAAAAACCGAGCTACATAACCCACTCCCTTACGATAACGGGAATTCTATCGACGACTCCCTCACATTCAATGTCGCAGCTAGGGTTGATGTAAAAGATGCGCAAGTCCAAATAAGCACTCAGCACGTAAAATTAAACAACAACCATCAAGCCGCTCCTTCTCCATTCCACTCTCTCTAGAATCATAATTACTTTAGCAGTGCAAGTATATAACGCCGAAAGTCCAGCAAGGAAGACATAGATGACACGGGCACGTCAGGCACGGGCGCCCTTCTTCTGATCTCTCCCTCCGCTGCGTGCATCAACGTTAGTTTTGAACGCATCACTGAATGCAACTGGGGGCATCACGCGAGGCCTGGGTCTGCGCAGCGCAGGTGAGATGTGTCTTCTTGTTGGTGGAGCTGATGGATTTCGTGTTAATTCTTTTTTGAGGGCTGATTTTAGTTTCGGTCTTCCATTGTTCTGCTTCTTGATCTGCTTTTTGTATGAGGGATCTTGGCCAACGACATCAGACTGTGATACCCCCTCGGTCTCGTTAGCACCGTCCACCTCTCCCTCCTCGCTACTTCCATTATATTCGAGCACTACGATGTGTTGGTTAGAGGTATGTTTTCGTTCGTCACTCTTTTCATGTGGCTCTTGTTTCGTTTTCGTTCGTCTGCAGCCCCGTTTCGTTCGCCGTTCGTTCGGTTTATTTGTCCTTCTGGTTGGGTGCGCAATGATGCTCATAGCATAGTAGCTTCCTGGTTCTGAACACTGATTGCATACTCATTCTGACGCGCACCCTTCCCTCTTTCTCTTCCATCCCCTTCCTTCCTCCTTAAACCTTAACTAATACCTCTCATCAGTAACGAACAAACACATTCACCTCCCATCCCCGCTTTCTCTCTGCCAGTGCTCCCGATTCCATCCATCGGTCTCAGTTCCAGGAAAGCACAAGCACAAACGCCATGGGAGAGAATACTGAGGAATCCATACGCTTGTCCTCCGGCTCTGTTTTGTGTGGCGATTCTGGTGGGTGAGATGGTTTTGAATGTGTGAGTACTCGTTCTTCGAGGGCTTTCGTTGCCCGACTTCATTCATTCTAGCCATGACCTTTCTCCTCACTCGCAAGATTTCTTCCTGCATAACGACCTGCCTTCAAATAATCTTACTCGATGGCACAACCTACGCCGACTCTCCACGCAGCGCATACTACACACCTTTCGACCTTGCTCCAGCAGTTCTCCAAGTCGTCATCACCACGCACATCACATGCGCAGCTCGTGTAGTCCTAGACGGTCTGTTGTTGCAAACTTCACCTGCAGCGTCGTTTGGCGGTGAGTGGTGTAGGTACAAGAAGCACGGGTATAGACGCAAAGTGCATGGGTATGAGTAGTTCTCAACTGTTCATCTCAATTTTTTCGAAAATGGCCTTTTGACTATATGTTCTATGCAATGGCAAAAACAGGAAGTCGATAACTATTGTGGTTGGCGAGAAAAACGCCAGGCGACCCACTACTGGTTCTGACCTGTTACTTACCCAGCCACAGTAAAATCTTGCGGAAAGTCAACCAACCCGGAAGTTTCTGCGAACTGTAACAATCAGCGCCACTTGAATCGATCGATTCTACTACTAGCTTATCCACAGTGCAATGGTTTGGGTTCTAGCTGAGGAAGAGTAGTCTAAGGTGTGCCTAGAAGAGACTAGAATGTCAAGACCAGGAAACGAGGCAGTTCAGGAGGGTATGAACGTGCATCGGAAATTTTCTAATATTGAACTCAGGAGTTAGTAGGCGTTTACATGTACGAGTGGAGTGGTCAACACTACCAGCTGCAGAGCCTCGTACTGGGTAGTACTCAATAGCCAATATCAGGTGACATTCTAGTAGATTAGGCAGATTACCAGTCCTCCTCATCCATTTCGATCCTTTGAAGAAGATGCACCGCATCCTCCTTACGCAGCTTGCAACGCTTCGTGAGCATTGCAACATCTTCTGACGATTCTTCCCCAACTCCTTGGTCGGAACCAAAAACTCCCCCAGCTTCTTGCTCATCCGCGCAAACCAGACACTCTCGTCTACCGAGCACGCGTCACAACTTCCAAGTTCCTTAAGCATATTTAGCACCTTCTTCCTAGATTCGATGTATCTGGCTTCGTATGCGTTTTGGTAGCCCCTAATGGTCGTGATGCAGACATGAGTAACGGGAACAATCCTGGCATTTTCGATATGTGCCTTGTTCATCGTCCACCAGTCCTCCATGTTCTCCTCGTTCTCGAGATTGGTAATCACTAGCGCAAGAGGCACCTGTTCCTGGCACAGGAACTCGTAGAATAATCTGTAGTTCTGCTGCACAGTGTTCGACACTCTGCTAGCCTTGATGCAGAAAAGCAAGCCATGTATACCTCCTCGGTTCTTGAGCGAGACGATGAGCTTGTGTGCCTTTACTAGGGCATCTAGATACCCCGCGTTATTCATTGTGGGGGAGTCCAAGCCCATCTGGATTGTCTTTGAATTAGAATACTGATACGCTGAGAATCATTGCGTCTACTTACTGTATCAAACAGATTTACATGAAACAGGGAATCCGAAACTGTGACCGGATACTCAGTTGATTTGAGTGTACATATCTGTGCGCTGGCAGAGGTCTCGGCAAGATCTTCCCCAGCAATGAGATTTACCAATGCGCTTTTCCCTACGCCCGCCTCGCCGAACATGATGAAGTTTCGTGTCTTCGTACGTGCGCAAACTAGCGGGGAGTGGTTGGCACTCTTGGATGCATCGTAAAAGAGTACGGTGAACTTACCTAAGTCGAGTACTTCATCTGCTAAAGGTCGAAGTTCGGGCTTGCGTAACAGACACCTTTGTATAATGTCCCAATCTGGGTCTATTATTGCAGGATGGCTGTTGGGACGCTGCGGTCCGTGACCTCGGGATATCATAACAACGATATGCAATTCCGGCCTTTCAGAGATGATCTCAGACCAAGGGTGCCGACCAGAGAGAATCTGTATAATGAGTCCTCGGGCAAACATTTCGTGACCAAACTACCGACTCACTTGAAGCATTACACAACCAAAAGAGTATACATCAGTTTTATCCAGAGGCAGGCCATGGATATCTTCTGGTAGAACGAGCTCTGGTGCTGCATAGCGGATTGCACCTGGGTGTATAGACGTCGCAGCCAGTTGCGACTAGCCGAGAAGGGGTCGGACAATGGTGGAAAGACCAAAATCAATCAACCTTGCACGGCTTCCCTCGTCAATTAGTATATTCGCCTGCAGCTTCGAAATCAGTTGTCAAATATGCCTGAGCAGCTCCGGGTTCACCCCTGTTATATCCCCGTGCAGGACGCGTACCGAGTGCACTGCACCAAAGGTAGGTCACTGCTCGGTTCCAAATGTCTTTAGAAAATATCTGAAACTAATAATAGCACAGTCCAGCGCTGACATCCTTTACCTTGCAGCTTCGAGTGAGTCTTGAGAGGTGAAAGGTGTGGTAAGAATTCTGCTCACCATACGTGAACGGTCCAGCCCTGTGAGATCATTGTGGTTAGATGCTAGGTAAGCATTCAACGTGCCGTTTGGGATCCACGGAGTCACCAAGCAGCGCGACTTTCGCATCCGTCCAAATCCTGTCGCTGTACCCAACAACGGTACAATGTTGTCATGGCGTAGAATCTTCAAAATGCCAATTTCTCGGCTGATTTTCTGGATAATCCAAAGGAGCATTGAGTTGATATACTCATCCGGTTCTCCCGGCGCGCGTCACTTACCCTGTTGATTCGCTCCAAATCATAATGCTCTGGAAATCTGAATGACTTGACCGCAACCTTACGTACCGATCGATCAGCGTAAGCCAGCGCATCATCAGAGGACTCGTGAACCGAAGATATTATCATATATGCCGATATATGATCATATATAGGAAAGATTTTCTCTATATTGGAATATAAAGTCATATAAAGCCATGTATAACGTCGGAAAACCACCGCAATCGACGTAAAGCACCCTGGGTACACTCACGAATTCTCTGATGATGGCAAAGGCATCTAAAACATGCACTGACGAAGGTTGAATTACCACTGTCTACAATGTAATTGCATTTCCAGACATCGCCAAATGCACCTCCACTAACGTGGTCCTGAGTTGTTCGAGTGATAAAGGGTGTTAAATCGTTTTCCACCCTACACGGTAAGTTGAGTAAAGCTGCAGATACTTCGGCACCAATCACAATGCAACCATACCCCGGATCGCGGTTCTCCATACTTTCTTCTATCAGCCTGCGGTCAAAGAAATGTGGATCGGGTACAGTTGATACGGTTCGTAGTCGAAGTTTCGAAGCCTAAGGTATTTCACGTTCGAAGTTTGCAATGGATAGCAAGGGTGGTTTGGGCGGTTTGTGGTGAGTCTTAAGTGTGCACATAAATAGAGTATACCCCCGGGTACCACCTGGGCGTGGTGACCTCATGTTTCCCACATGTTCATGCCCACCCTTTACTACTAGTAGCACGGGGCCCAAATTATAACCCTCAGCCCACTGGCAGCCAATTACCCTCATTGGGGGGATGAGAGGCCTGGGGTACGTCTTCTCTTTTCCGGTTTGGTTTGATGAAGCTGATGGATTTCATGTTTCTTTTTGGGGTTTTGATTTTGATTTTGGTCTTCTATTGTTCTGATTCTTGATCTGGTTCTTGTGCTGGGGATCTACGTGAACGATGTCAGACTGCGATACCCCATCAGTCTCGTTATCATCGTCTTCTTCTCGCTCCTTGCTACTTCCATTGTGTTCGAGCACCACGATGTGTTGGTTAGAGGTGCGTGCTTTCATTCGTTTCTCCTTTCGATGTGGTTCGAGTTTTGTCCGAGTTTTGTTAGCTCCATTTCGTTCACTATTCATTCTGTTTATTTGTCCTTCTGGTCGGGTGCGCAATGATGTTCATAGTAGGTTGTCTTTCTGAACACTGATTGCATACTCATTCTGACGCGCACTTTTCCCTTTCCCTCTTCCCGCTCCCTTATTCCTTCCTTAAACTTCAACTAACACCTCCTACCAGTGACGAACAAACACATTCGGCTCCCATCTCGGCCCTCTATCCTGACCGTATTCATCGTTCTCGGCCCCAGGAGGAGGACAAGCGCAAGCGCCATGGGAGAGAATACTGAGCAACCCATACGCTCTTCCTCCGATTCTGTTTTGTGTGGCAATTTCGTGGGGTGAGATGGTTTGAAATGTGTGAGTACTCTCCTCACTAGCAAAACTCCTTGCTGCGCAACGACCTACCTCCAAATAATCTTACTCGATGATATAACCTATGCTAACTCTCCACGCAGCGCACACCACCTACCATTTGACCTTCCCTAGCAACTCTCCAAGTCATCATCACCACACACATTGCATACGTAGCGTGTATAGTCCTAGGCGGTGTGTTGTTGCAGACTGCACCTACATCGTCGTTCGGCGGCGTGGGTGGCATAGGCACAAAAGGCACGGGTATATGCGCAAAAGGCACAAACACCCTAGAATCCTTCTGGCACGTCATCCGCGAAATCGAGCGACACGGACATGTCACGAGTCTTCCTGCTCCGTATGTGTGGTAGGTGTGTCTGCCTGGACTGAGGGAGATGAGGTCTTCTGGGCTACGGTCTGTGCCAGGGTCCGCCTTCTCGTCGACGTTCCCATTTGCACCACGATCTGCTCTCTCACCCTGTCCCCCGTCCCCTTTCCCCGACGCGCCAAGAGGACCAGAACTGCAATTGATAATAACGCTTTCACTACATGTCCCACATTCGTTGTGCGATGAGGTATTGAAGTTTACGCGGTGAATGTGAGAGGATTAAGGGGGCATTTATCAGTGATAGAGTGAGGGGGTTTGGGGTGGAGGTTGAGATCACGTCACTTAATGGTCACGTATCAATACTTGCCAGAAATCTGACGTCTAGTATGGGCAAGGATACACAACTCTACAGAGGGAACATGGTGTCATTCTGTCCATGTCGACGACACTTATACTCCTCTCCTCACTCACCCGCGGGCTCCAGAATCCCACCACTACTTTTTCCTTGTCATCACTCACTCCACATCCCGCATTCCAAACCCTCAATGCGTCACTTCGGCTCAACACTCTTGGATCCCAGGCCAATGTCAACACCCGGTTGTGGGTGTAATACTTGTGGCATCATAAATGAGCCTAGAGGTCGGGGGCTCTTGTGGGTGTAAGACATAGTTTGGCTCGGGGTGTGATGTAAATAGGAGAGGAGGATGGGGGTGGGGACTGTGCGTCTTGGTCAAGGTCCATTTGCGCGTGTTGGTGTTGTTCATAGTTAGTAGTGACGAAAAGAAACAAAGGGGAGACTGATTTCGCCCTCTTCGCCCTTATCCTCATCTTGCTGATCTTCGTTGCCATTTTCTCTGGGCGCAGTGGAACTCAAGCGGAAAGCCCATAACAACGCCCGCGCGGTACAGCATCGAGGAATTTGAGCCATGTGCTTGGTTGAGGAATCGGCTCCTCGGCGATATCTGAGTCTGCGCTGCTTCAGCGAATACTGTATGTATTATCCTTCAAGGCTCCACTAGCCAAAGTATAGTGGGTTTGAGGCCAAGCTAAAATGCAGCTGGCCAACGCAAGATTGTCGTGTGCGACGCAGGACACCAGGTGTGGTGGCTATGAAGAAGACACGTCATTGGGAGATGGGTCACCCGGTAAGCTTATTGCGTTGTGCAAGGAAAGAGAAGAGAATATAGAACGAAGAAGCTAAGCTGACATGATGAGCTCCCCCTGTACCCACATATGTCTGTTTAACTTCAAATCAATCCAAAACACCGGCTGTACACCCCCATAGTCTATATATCCAACTCCCCACCACGACAAAAATAAGAATAAGCCATGCACCGCAGCCCCAGAGCGGTTGTTTGTCATCGATACTCTTGCGCGCTCCGTGCACAGAGTAACGGCTGACCGCTTCCACAGTCATCCATGCTTCCTTTGGCGTGTAGATGTCCCGGTCCTGGCGACCCATGACTTCCACGATAGCGCAAATTTGCCCCCAGATTGCGTAGTAACGGAATCGTTCTGTCAGAAATTACATCATACCACAGATAAAAACTATTCCATCGTCTTCCAGAACAAAGATGTCCTTGCCTGAATATCATTGGTTATCAGGAAATGGTTGAAGTTGTTGAGGACAATAACCTTGGCATTGTAGTCAACGATGTCAAGATTCAGAGGTTCGGAAGTGCTGGCGTACGTGGCAAGCGAGGTCAAAGCGAGCTGCCAAGTTTCACCGACCAACTTCAAAATGTAGGGAATGGGCCCAACGCCTCGATGCTGAACTCATGTTGTCGATGGCTGGCCGTGATGATAGATGCTGGTCCTGCAGCTGCAGACTTGCTACTTTTAGCATACTGCAAGATAGGATACGGTTTGTTTTGAGCTTACAATACAGACCGCTAGAGACAGCTGCGAAACTGAGCCAATCCGGTTTATTCAGGTTCGACTGAGCTGATACGTGATGGAAATGAAAGTGAAGGTAAGCAAGAAAGCATAAGCGTGGATGTGGATTGCGGCTACTCGATCAAGGGCTTTGCTGGCAATTAGGGGGATAAGTATTGAAGATGGACTTCGGTCGTGTGAGTCATTTAGAAGGAGCGTGTAGGGCGGTGGGATGGGCACAGGTATCAAGGGTTTTAACCTTACTACGGAGGGCAAGAAGGCCTAGGGCCTATTCATTGGGTGGGTGCCGTTACGAGAGTGGAAAATGTTGATGTCGCACCGAGTCATCAGCTATATAGACGATTCGAGTCAGTACTATAAGTATGCATAAACTTTCCCGACTCACATGGGCGCGCGTTGAACGCACCAGGGAAGACATATCAAATACGGAGAACCGTGGAGGACATTCTCATATAATTGTTCAGGCCCATCAGTTTGTTCGAGTTGGAATCAGTGCGAGAAGTTGACACGGAGAAGGCGTATCGCGCGTCCAACGGTGAATTTATATGATGACAATACATCATGAGCTATGAGGAAGAGCGCCACTTATAAAAACAACGCTCCTGCAAAATCAGCGCGAGAGATGTAACGCGTTATATTATGATGGGCGGGGATGCTCACTTTGAATGCCTTTGATTTATCCTCGACCAAGGTATCAGGATCACATCACCCAGCGACATGCTTGTAATGGACGTAGCGCCAGCATGACGCTGAATCACGTCGTGGTTATTACTTCTGAGTGGGAAAAGAGGGTCTTTGAGCGTCGTACCGTGGTGGTCGCACTCTAGTACTTTGCGGAACTGATATTAGATGATTTTGTTCATCGATGCTGGCATTAAATTTTATCGTTGACGTCGGATGGTGGTTGATGTAAAGGATGTCACTTGCAAGTCCAAATAAGCAGGTGACCCAGGACGTAAAATTAAACGACAACCATCAAGCCGCTCCTTTTCCATTCCACTCTCTTTAGAATCATAATTACTTTAGCAGTGCAGGTATGCGTCGCCAAAAGTCCAGTAAGGAAGACGTAGACGACACGTTTGTCTTCACCAGGACACGGACATGGGCATGGGCGCCCTTCCTCTGATCTCTCTCCTCCCACCGCTGCATCAACGTTAGCTTTGAACGCGGTTAGGGGTCTTTGGTCTGCACGGCGCAGGTGAGATGGAGAATTGTGGGCAGCATCATCATTGGGGGATGGGATCAGAGACCGAGGATATTGGGGTGCGTTAGTTTTGGTTTCTTCGTTTGGTTTGGTGATGCTGGTAGATTTCGTGTTTTTTGTGGGGTTTTGATTTGATTTTGGTTTTCCATTGATCTGCTTCTTGTGCGGGGTGTCTACGCCAACGACGTCATATACAAAATGCGATACCCCGAGCTCGGTCTCATTACCATCGTCCTCTCGCTCCTTGCTACTTCCATTGTGTTCGAGTACCATGATGTGTTGGTTAGAGGTGTGTTTTCGTTCGTTCCACTTTGTATGTGGTTCTTGTTTCGTTTCAGTTCGTCTGCAGCCTTATTTCGCTCACTGTTCATTCGGTTTATTTGTCCTTGTGGTTGGGTGCGCAATGATGTTCATAACATATCATGCTGTTGACTCTGAACACTGATTGCGTACTCATTCTGATACGCACCCTTCCCTCTTTCCCTTCCATCTCCCTTACTTCCTCCTCAAACCTCAACTAACACCTCTCATCAGTAACAAAAAACACATTCACCTCCCATCCCCGCTCTCTCTATTCCAGCGCTCCCGATTCCACCCATCGGTCTCAGTTCCAGGAAAGCACAATGGGAGAGAATACTGAAGAGCCCATACGCTCTTCCTCCGATTCTGTTTTGCGTGGCGATTCTGGGGGTGAGATGGTTTTGAATGTGTGAGTACCTGTTCTTCGAGGGTTTTTGTCACTTGACTCCATTCATTCACGCCATGACCTTTCTCCTCACTCGCAAGTCTCCTTCAAATAATCTTACTCGATGATGTAACCTACGCTAACTCTCCACGCAGCGCACACTACACACCTTTCGACCTTTCTCTAGCAGTTCTCCAAGTCATCATCACTACGCACGTCACATACGCAGCTCGTGTAGTCCTAGGCAGTCTGTTGTTGCAGACTTTACCTGCAGCGTCGTTTGGCGGTGTGAGTGGTGTAGGCACAAGAAGCACGGGTATAGACGCAAAGGGCATGGGTATGAGTAGTTCTCGACTGTTCATCTCAATTTTTTCGAAAATGACCTTTTAACTATATGTTCGATGCAATGGCAAAAACAGGAAGTCGATCACTATTGTAATTGGCGAGAAAACGCCAGGCGACCCACTACTGGTTCTGACCTGTTACTTACTCAGCCACAGTCAAATCTTGTGGAAAATCAACCAACCCGGAAGTTTCTGCGAACTGTAACAATCAGCGCCACTTGAATCGATCGATTCTACTACTAGCTTATCCACAGTGCAATGGTTTGGGTTCTAGCTGGGGAAGAGTAGTCTAAGGTGTGCCTAGAACAGACTAGAATGTCAAGACTAGGAAACGAGGCAGTTCAGGAGGGTATGAACGTGCGTCGGAAAATTTCTAATGTTGAACTCAGGAGTTAGTAGGCATTCACATGTACGAGTGGAGTGATCAGTACTACCAGAGCCTCGTACTGGGTAGTACTCAATAACCAATATCAGTGACATTCTGTGAATTAGGCAAATTACCAGTTCTCCTCATCCGCTTCAATCCTTTGAAGAAGATACACCGCATCCTCCTTACTCAGCTTGCAACGCTTCGTGAGCACCTGCAACATCTTCTAACGACTCCTCCCCGACCCCCTGGTCGGAACTAAAAACTCCCTCAGCTTCTTGCTCATCCGCGCAAACCAGAGACTCTCGTCTACCAAGCACGCATCATGGTTTCCAAGTTCCCTGAGCATATTAAGCACCTTCTTCCTGGATTCGAAGTATCTTGCTTCATATGCGTTTCGAAAGCCCTTGGTGGTTGTGATGCAGACATGCGTGACGGGGACAATGCCGGAGTTTTCGATATGTGCCTTGTTCCTCGTCCACCAGTCGTCCATGTCCACCTCGTTCTCAAGATTGGTAACGACTAGCGCAAGAGGCACCTGTTCCTGGCACAGGAACTCGTAGAATAATCTGTAGTTCTGTTGCATAGTGTTCGACACTCTGCCAGCCCTGATGCAGAAAAGCAAGCCATGTACACCTCCCCGGTTCTTGAGCGAGACGATGAGCTCATGTGCCTTCACTAGGACATCTAAATACCCCGCATTATTTAGAATGGGCCAGTCCAAGCCCGCCTAGATTGTTCTTCAATTAGAATACCGACACGCTGGGAATCATTGTGTCCACTTACTGTATCAAAAAGATTTACATTGAGCTGGGGATCTGAAAATGTGACTGGATACTCTGTTGATTCGAGTGTGCACAACTGTGCGCCGGAAGAGGTCTCGGCAAGTTGATCTCCAGCAATGAGATTTACCAACGCGCTCTTCCCAACGCCCATCTCGCCAAAGATAATGAAGTTTGGTGGTCGCGGTTGAGAGGACATTATGGGAGCTGAAGGGGAGTGGTTGGCACTCCTGGATGCGTTGGATAGTGTACCGTGGAAATCCACCAAGTTATCCACGTGAATAACTAGGTGGATAACTCGAGGCCAAAATTGATAGGGTAGATTATGTGAATAACTCAAACAACAGTATACATGCGCAGGGTTACACTGTGGGAAGTAAAAACCATTAGATTACAGCCATTTGCAGAACACTAGGCCAAATTTTATTCACTACATACACAGTGGTATTTCAACTTCTACTCTCTGATCAGATATGTAGGGTATGCTAGTTATTGTCACAAACTGGGCTCACGGGTGCAATAGGAAAAACAGCAAGAAATTCACGTCTGTTGAGAAGCTCACCCAAGCACCATTCAATATAGCTACAGAGTTTGAAAGACTCATTTCAGTCATGTCAGAGGAGAGCTACCTTCCAGACCTTTTTTCTTGTAGTGTTCCAACACTGCTAAAGGCTCAGTGTGGTCAACATAAAACTCAGGTGAACACAGATGATATAGCTCCATTGTCACAGCTGTCTTGGAAGAGCAAACCCCTCAGTTGAGTGGCCTTTAGATAGCTAATGGGGGAAGATGCCAGAATGCCCTTTGCATGTTGATGAATGAAGTCCAATTCAACATCCTTGATATTAGCAGCTTTGTAATTTTAGTATTAACATCTGAATATAATGAGGGTGATAACTCACCAGCATATTTTGCCAAAGCATTGCAAGCAGCAGGGTGAGATGAGACAAGACCAATGATGTTAACATGGGTAAATAAGGTATGGCACTTCAGAGCTTGCAAGAGGTGGGTTGTGATGTAATGCTGATGGACTGCTTCATTGACGACAAGCTGTGTCACCCAGCCAACTTAACAAAATTAGAAGGTGAGCTTTGCAATAAATTGAGATAACTACCTTTATTTTTACCATAGTCCCAGACTGTGGCAAATGCATGTCCATAAAGTTGAGGACACTCACTCTCAAGTGGATCAACTTGGATGTAGCAGGTTACCAAAATGCTACTCTCCAGGCGAGACAAACATTGGGATTGTAGTCTTGCACTGGTCATCTTGACCTGTTTCCCTGTGTAAATGATTCAGCAATGGCCAATGATCAACATCTTGACTACTGACCAGCTACAGTAAATTTGGAGATTGTAGCTGCCTGATCACCCCAAATACCAGTAGTTAGAACTGAACAAATTGGTGCACAATTTCAGTGTATTGTTGGAGACTTCACTGTCCACTGTCATCTTATAGGAGAAAGAGGCTTTGGATGGAGAAGTGAGACAGGGGAGGACAAGGCCTCTTGTTGGGGGAGTTATGGGTGTTGTTGTTGACTGTGACATGATTGGAGAAGATGTGCAATTAGGTAATTCATACCAACACATATATACAGTGGCTCAAAAAACTATCCACATGTTTTGACATTTTTCACTATCTATGATATTGTGTGAGAAGGAACAAATGCCTCAAGGACATGGTTATACCACATTGTAGTATGGCTTCAGGGCTTTCATTTGAGCCCTACACCGTGGGAATCAGGTGGAGATATGGTGGAGATACAAGGCTCACAAAATGGTGACTCATGCGGACAGTTTTTTGAGCACATATTAAAACTATATAAATCATCATTTATGACACCATAACAATCATGCCACCATTAAATAAATTATAAAGTGGTGTCATTATGTCATTTTAAAACCATATCTAACTATACAAACCAAAAATTTCCATATGTCATGGTTATATTCACCATGAAAGCTACCCCCCCTGCTCAAAGGGATAATATCCTATTCTGGCCTCTCTGCTTGTCAAATTTCCTCTAGAACTGGAGTATCCAAGTCCACTGTGGCCAAGTTCGTCAGGGGAAGTCACACAGACAAGGAAAACTTCTGTGAAGGGCATCCATCCAAGCTCACCTCTACTGATAGGAGGGCTATTATTCAACATATCACTACAGGAAAGGCTGATAATGCTGTCCAGGTCACCTATTACATCAATTCCACCATCACATTCCCTGTCTCTTCACACACTGTGAGAAACATTCTCAAGACAGCTCATCTCAGGTCAGTAACAAGGAAGAAAAGGCTTTCCTCTCTATCACACATAAACAGAGATGACTAACCTTTGCCTTAGCCCATCAGAATTGGATTACATGGACTGGAAGCATGTTATATGATCATATAAGACCACAATAAAGATTGGTAGATTAATTCTGATGGCTATAGTGAAAAAGAGGTGCTAGTCCTCTCTGCTTTATGTGTGATAGAGAGGAAAGCCTTTTCTTCCTTGTTACTGACCTGAGATGAGCTGTCTTGAGAATGTTTCTCACAGTGTGTGAAGAGACAGGGAATGTGATGGTGGAATTGATGTAATAGGTGACCTGGACAGCATTATCAGCCTTTCCTGTAGTGATATGTTGAATAATAGCCCTCCTATCAGTAGAGGTGAGCTTGGATGGATGCCCTTCACAGAAGTTTTCCTTGTCTGTGTGACTTCCCCTGACGAACTTGGCCACAGTGGACTTGGATACTCCAGTTCTAGAGGAAATTTGACAAGCAGAGAGGCCAGAATAGGATATTATCCCTTTGAGCAGGGGGGGTAGCTTTCATGGTGAATATAACCATGACATATGGAAATTTTTGGTTTGTATAGTTAGATATGGTTTTAAAATGACATAATGACACCACTTTATAATTTATTTAATGGTGGCATGATTGTTATGGTGTCATAAATGATGATTTATATAGTTTTAATATGTGCTCAAAAAACTGTCCGCATGAGTCACCATTTTGTGAGCCTTGTATCTCCACCATATCTCCACTGACTTTCCACGGTGTAGGGCTCAAATGAAAGCCCTGAAGCCATACTACAATGTGGTATAACCATGTCCTTGAGGCATTTGTTCCTTCTCACACAATATCATAGATAGTGAAAAATGTCAAAACATGTGGACAGTTTTTTGAGCCACTGTATATTATCAAGCATGGTCTGTGCACTTGGAACCTGACAGCAAGATCAACTCCTAAAAAATAGCAACCATTTTTTGTCCCAGTGGACAGTGTGCTGCAGGTGTATGGACATGTAAATATTATGGTATAATACTGTGAAAAAAACTATAAGAACCACTTGATACATGGACTTGAAGCCCATCCTCACAAGCCCATCCTCACTTACTATGTCAAGTACCCCTCTGAGTTGGTCTGGCACAGGTAATATTCACAACTCACATCAGTATCCTCATCACTATCCACAGCTGCCAGCACATTGTCAGCAACCTTTCATACAACATTATCTGCAAATGCTGCACATACTGTAGCACTATCTGCCTACCTCCACAGCATCAGTATTATCCACTGCATGTTACGAACTAGGATAGTTCTAACGACAGACAACTTGATAAGAGTCAGGACCTCTGCCAAGATTCTACGCAAGACAATAAGTCAAGCATTCAGTGTAAGCTAAGACAGAAGGAGTGCTTCTATCTTAAAGTATGGTTCAGATAACAAGAGATTGGAGGTCTCAAGTGAAGGATGTTTCAGGTAAAACCTAGTAAGATTAAAGTGCAGAACTAAAGTGTACAAGAGAACTATTTATAGTGAACTACAAGTGCTTTAGGGCAGATATGAGAATGGATATGAGTCAGGGATAAAGGACACATAAGTGATAGCAAGAATAGGTCATCTAGTGACGGCAATGGTGGTTGTGATGTAATATGAGGTATGAGTCAAGGATAAGTATAGCAGTGGCATCATGTGGCTTGTGATGTAATACACAGTAAGAGAGAGAAAATGAATAGGGGCGTACATGGTTGTAACACTGCACTTCATTCACACTGGCCAGCCTCCATACCAGCAGTATCTTCCAATGCAACCAGTGAGGATGCAACCAGAAGTTCTAGCTCCAGAGTACCCTCCAATGCAATTGGATCCAACCTCAGAACTGTCCCAGGCATCATCAAAAGCCCCAGCATTGTCCCAAGTATCAGCAAGACTGTGACCAAATCCTGAACTGTGCCCTGGAGTTTTTAGTTTTGACATTGATGTTATTATGGGTGACATGAAGTGTGGATTTTGTGGCGAGACTGACATGCCTTGGGATGACTTCAGAAGTTGCATTCTTGCATACCTCAATGCTCCTGAAGAAGTCCAGCTTGTGTATAAGTTCATAGGTGATAACAGCAAAGCTTCTCACCTAAACAATGGGGAAGCATTTGGTATCACTATGGATCAACTTTGTCACAAAGCATCCAATGTGCATATATGAGTCGTTGCTTTAGAGGTAAAGAATGCAGCAGTAAGTGATTATTTATGTTGCATCAATTGAAAATTACTTACAGTTACTCCAAGGCCAAACAGACTACCACCAAAGCGAAGAAGAGGACACATGAAGACAATATTCCTCCAGTGATTGACAAGGATTCCATGCAGCTCAAAGCATACAAACAGCTTGACTGCCACATTCAATGTGAGCTTCACCATGGCCATTGTTTCATAGATCGCACCAGTGGCTATGATAACCATTGTTGTCTCAATCATGCCAAGATGACTCTCTGGGCTAAAAAGATCATAAGTTTCATGTCCATGCTTGCAGAAAAAAATAAAAAATACCCTTAGGCTCTTGGTCATGCAATGATTTACAACCCACCTCACTGCCTCAATTTCAACCATGGCCTAGCCAACAAAAAGCCTTGTCACTTGAGGTTGGGATCATCACCTGAAGTCCATGTCACCATACAAAATATAATGGCCAATCCTACCATAGCTTCCACATTGAAGACTCCTAGTTCTCCACTGCTTTCACAACAGTGCCACTTCAAGTCTGCAGCCCAGATCCCTAACACAATGCTGCTGGACTATCCAAAAATTGGGGTGTTGCTTGCGCTGATTTATGCTGAAAGACCAGAACTGCGAATTCATGAACTTGAAACATCCCTGCTAGATGCAGGGGTGGTTTTGTTGAGCCAAGTAATGCTTTTACTGGAGGATGTGTTGAGTGTCATTGGCAATATGGGGCAAAAGCAAGCCAGAATCCTCTGCAATTTCACTAAATAGATGGTTCTGCCACTCCTTGGATTCCTCAATTCCTACAAGGAGCCAGAAATAGAGGAGCCAGAGGCACCTAGCTTAGGGACTCAGGACAAAGGGAAGGAATGTGCTATTGAGACTGAATATGATATGTGGCAGGAAGGAGAATTGGAGTATGGAAGTGGCAAGTACAATGAGTTTGAGAGTGATGACAAGACTGAGGGGGATGGAGAATTCCTGACCTAAGCTGTCAATCAGTGATACAAACTAACCACTTAGTAAAATAGTACTGCTGGCAGTTTCAACATGCCTGCAAGGTACTTGCACAAAATCAGTAAAAAGTGCACTCTCTATGCAATGTATTCACTATGCTTGTACCAGCCATGAGCATTTTCACTCATAACAATGCCATATACAGCTTCCCATATCAACATGTATGGATCACAGGCTGGACCCTCAGTCTCTCCAAGTACATAGTCACAGTTTGACTGAAGCCATGCCTTGATAGCTGAAAATGCCTCCTCAATAGGATTTAAATCAGGTGAATAAGAAGGCAAGTACAGGAGCCACATGCCACTACAAAAAAAGAGAAATCAGTATCATTTGAGCAGGAAATAAGGATAATGCACTGCTCTTCAACCATCTCACAAATACCTTAGACTTTGTGGATACTTGTGTTGTCCATAACTAACACTAAGTTTGGCATGGGCCAGGGCTGCATTTGGTCCAATACACCAGCAACAAAATCCCCAAATTTGTCACCAGAGAACAAATGATCTAAAACCTCCAAGTAGAGGATACCATCAAATGACAGAGCCAGAAGAATTGAATATCTAACAAAATGTCAAGGTGCTGACAAAAGAGTTTCTGAAAAAGTACCTTTTGCCATGTATGAAAAAATCCTGCCATCATGTGCACTTTCCAATAGGAGCCCAAGCAAAATCACGATGTAAGGAAATCCTGTTGAAATGACACTCATCTGCAAATACAAGGTGCTCTAGCTGAAAATGTTCCCCCATAAGCATCTTATAGGCAGCTTGATCATCTCCATTGCA